GCAAACAAGCCATACCGAATCGCGAGGCCATGGCAACACAAGGAACTGGACACGGCCATTCCGAGTGACTTGGTCACTTACGGAAGCGCCGTTGTGTCCATTTGGATTCCCGCGTCTTTCCGCGCTGTGCCCGCCACAAATGGTGGCTCTGGCTTCAATCTCAGTCCTGTTGCTGTTCCGTACCGATATGTCCTCGTCTGGGATCTTGCAGCCAACTCTACGCGAACTTTTGGCATTCCCAACACAATTTCGTGCGTGTCGCCGGATTGCCGCTTTGTAGCCTATGTCTCCGCCACTGGAACCGACATTGGTGCTCGAGGCAGCATTGTCATCCTGGATGTCATGACTGGCAAGGAGGTTTGGAGCTGGCCAGACCCAGAAGCTTTGGCCATTGACTACACTCCCCGCCCTGGATTCGAACAATTTGATGACCTTTCGCGAGTTTCAGAGCTCTGCTTCTCCGCAGATGGAAAGTTCTTGAACGTCGGTGATATGGAGGGCCACGTCGGCATGTATGAGTTGCGTGAGTCCAGTGGAGACAGGATGCAGCTGCATATGATCTAGTGGAAGCACGAAAGAAGAAGGGAAAAAAAATTATGAAACTACTTTTTTACGATATGGGACTTGGGAAATATTTTTTTTATGAAGCTATGCTTGGTCGCAATGAACTTTTACTATGTTTCTATACTTGGACGACCGGAGAGGGAGGGTATAAGCTGTAACAATAATATCAGATACCACGGGTTCAAATTGGCTACTATTACAATTTAATAATCTCTGACGATATATCTTGCCTTTTTTTGCGTGATTTATGTAGATGTAGCTTCATTTCATGAAACGTGAACATTTCGGATGAAACAGTATTTTCAGTAGTTGAAGGCTTCGTTTATCTAGCTTTGAGCATAGCAACAATTTTGTTTCTTTTTGTTTTTCTTTTCTTTTCTTTTTCTCGGCGCTCTACAAATATGGCGAAGAACATTTTGCGTGCCATCGGCTTTTAGCACTTTCTATCCTCTTGCAGTTTGTAGAAATGAGGCCCCACCCAAACTCCAGACATTTTTTCCAATGCCCCATCGTGATTCACCCCACGATTTCTGGAGGCGATCTTGATAACACTAATAGAAAGCGCCTAGAAAAAGTCTAGTAGGTTGTGAGCTGTAATTTTACCTTTACGGGATGGACAAATGACGGCGATCCGATCATGGCTGCTGGGCGATCAATGAGATGGTTATTTGCAGCCACGTGTGTGCCGGGGTTTGGGGGGCTTACGGGTCCACTGCCCTGGCTAGGTTATCTTGCTTGTTTTGGGTGGGACGGAAGGGATTCTTCAGTGTATCGTTGCGAGATAAGATTAACAGGGAGGAGTCAATCTATCTTTAGAAGAAGGAAATCTGGATACTCGAAGCTAGATTGCGTACTTGTAATTATACCCTTGTCTTTGGCTTCGAACCTGTCATTTGGCGTACATGGCTAATATTCATGTCTAATATTGAAAACCAACAACCCTTCTGTTTTAAAGGGAAAGTTGAGATCGACTTGCACTTATGACTATTCAAGGCTTTGGGGAGGGTTAAAAATGCTGTGAAAAGGCCCTGCGCCGCATGCCATGGAGCCAGTGGAGAATAGAAGATACATGTTTGTTAGACATCTTCAGTATAGGCAGCTGTAAGCCCAGCAAATCACAATCCTGATCCTGTCAAGGCCTTTGGGAGTGTTAAAAATGCTGTGAAGGGGATAGATAACCCGGGCGTTGCATTTGTTTTACTATATCCGTCGATTTCGCCAACAGGGACAGCCTGGTGAGTTACAAAACTATTCAATTTTTCGCCAGGTTTTATTTTTAGATCATACCGCATGTTCATGGATATGGCAAAATTGACTTATGTGCACTTGTACCTCTCACCTATGCTCCACGCCCTGCTCTATGATGTTGCCGATTTGACCCATTGACTGTAATATTGCTTTTGTTTGAATAGTCACTATGGTATAGAGGTGGTTTATGGTTCACAAAAACCGAGATGCATGTATAGACGCGATCGTTTTGCGGCGCTGTAAAATTGCTACCAAGAAAAGTAACAAAGCGCTTTGGCTTTTGGTGGGCATATTTACAGGTTATCGACTTTGACCGTCAAATACTCTCATCCGAAAAACTTTTGCGGAATCTCAACATGAATTGCCCGGATGAACTCTGCAAATCCCTTACCCAAGTTGTCCAACAAGCTGGTGCTTGTAACGCCCCTACCCAAAGACCCATAAACTACAAAATGGACGGCATAGATGTTAGGAAATTCGACTCTCTCAAGGAAGTACCAATCCTTCCAATCCTTCCTCATCAAGGAACGAAGCCTGCCTTTGGTCATGAAAGAGCGGAACCATTCCCATTGCTCTGGGGATTCCACGAACAGGCCGATGTTTACGTTGCCGCCTTTATCGCCCGAACGAGCAAGGACGAGATCACCTAGAGGGCGATTGACGGTTGCTCCAAAGCTCTCTAGGGATATGGGATCTGCCGTTTCGTAATTTTCTCGCGGTGCCAACGGCTCTGTCCTAGTCGGTGGGAGGATAGAAAAGTAAAGCGCCTCTTCAGTTGAGGTTTCACCCAGTACCGTAACAGTTTCTTTGATCTCATTTTGAGATACAACGGCTGGGTAGTACGCAAAGAACGGCTTTGGTGCTAGTGGGCGAAAGTCCATCGAAAAATGCATGCCTGGCAAAGTTTATAGTTAGTTCCCAGACATCATATAAGCCTTGAAGCATGAATACCTGGAAAATGAGACATGAACTGGTGAAACCACGCCAAATGCAATCTACTCAACACGTGTACATCCTTCGATTGCGCAAACACGCGCATATAGGTGGTAGAAGCAAACTGTGAATCGGGATCCTTCATCGGAGTTCCGATCCGCTGGAATTCCAGCACGTCAAATTTATCGAGTATTCCCCATTGTTCGAGGGTATCCTTTATCTGTAGCTCTTGGACATCCCATTTGTGATCTGTGGCATATCCGCTGGCATTGATCAGATGCTCACACTGATAGCCTCCCTTGTAGAAAACGGCGAGCTTTGTAGTCGGTGGAGGCGGGTAGCCTTTGACGCCAGATACAAGGACACGATTCTTCGATTCCTCGGTGACGGTTATTTTCGAAATGTCCGCTTTTACGTCACTGTTGAGATAGACGTTTCCTTGCAACTCATATAAAAATTGACACTTCACCGTAGCGGGCGTGACAAAGCCGTTTAGAGCGTCATGTTTAGTAACCACGCAATCTCCATTTGGCAGAACTTCCGCAATGCCAGAGCCAAGTCGCAAGAAATCGCTCGGTGGGTATTTATAAGCACCAGCAAAGTTGCCGCCGGTTACATATGTCGAGCATTCAATCAGATGACCGGCGATTAGTGATCCAGCAAGCTGATCAAAATCTGATTCAGACCAGTTATACCACCAGGCAGCTGCTCCGATCACTGCTGAGGCATCGGAAACTCGGCCACAGATTAGAATATCGGCGCCTTCATCTAGACCTTTCTTGATCGCGCGGTAGCCGAGGTACGCATTGGCAGCGACAATCGGCATCTCCCTTGGTGACTCTAAGAAAGAAGTTGTGTCCTTGGTGTATTGGACATCTAGGTTCGTTCCGTCGAGATGCGCGAGAGATTTGGAAATCAGGTGATGGACTTTGTGTATCAAATTGTCTCCCTCAATGTAACCCACGCGAAGCTTCAGACCTTTGAATTTGATCTTATTTGGTACGTCAGCAATATGATGCGATACTGGAGAGCCAGGGGGGAGTAATTTTACCGCATCGTGAACTTTTTCAGCAAGACCCTTTGGGTTCATTGCGCCGCCATTTACAACGATCTTAATTCGTTTTTCGTTTATCAGATCCAGGGACATCTGGATTCCATCGAAGGCGGACTTTATCCAGCCAGGTCCAGTTGATTGCGTGCGCTCTATCGCACTGCTTGCCATCGTCGCTTCTGTGATACCAGATTACAGATGTTATCAAAGTCAGTCATCATCATACACTATGCCATACTTCATTTGTGTGTACATGTATTGTTCATGGTTCTTCTGACCCAACCTACCTGCGAGGTAATCGCCCGTGATGACATCAACAGGGCCACATTTGGCCTGATTGTACATCAAAATGCCCGGATCGGCTGTCAATAGATTGGATATTGTTAGTGGCAAAATAATGTCATGATATGTGTAGATACATGTATCGGGTTCATCATACTGAGGGCACCAGAACAGTTGGCGATGCGAACTGGTCTAGATGATTTCGGACTATTGGAAGCCATTTTGGAGGTAATCAGGGTACAAAGCTGTATATTACCTAAGGCGTTTAAACAAGATCCAAGTTCTGCGAGAAAGAGAAGACAAGTCTGTAAATGGCAGCCAAGATCAGTTCAAGCGAGGGGAATCGCGCATACATATATGGACCGGGGTCTCTTCGCGAGCGACTCTTTGCGTAATACAAAAAGCACAACTAACCTTGATTACTCGGTAAACTTCATGCACATCATCCTTCCATCACCCAAGCTTAAACAGCGAGTGTTGATCCTTCTTCTGTCGCTGGGCTTCCCATCCAAGCCTCGGATGCAACCTCGATTTGTGGATGCCTGCATTTTTGCCGTCACGACCCCTCATGAATCAGGCGATTTACTACAAATATGGGCATCAGTGATGGAATCTTGAATTCTGTCAACCAGATTGGGACAGAGTTATGCGAAGAATGGAATTAAGGACTGGACGCTGAAGGCTCCAAAGAGCGTCACGTGATGCCTCTCCCTCTATCAGGTGTCGTCACTTCGAGAGTCGAGGCAGCCAAACAGCTGACTAAATAATGTAAACAGCACTTGAGCCAAAGACGCGTATCTTCAAAAATCTTCACAGTCAGCTTCAATAAACGATTCTCCTCTTATCTTTGTCCATTTCACTCATTTCATTTTCAATTCTCTCTGCAGCAGATCTATCGCGATAAATCTGCGGTGCGGTCACGATGCAGTCTATCATGGCCGCCATCCCGGCTGTTTTCACCCCTGGCAGGGCAACTAGAAGCTCACCGCGGAATTCATTGGGCCCAAATTCCACTGTTGCAACGCAAGAGTCTCCGCGACTCAAGAAGAATACGCCAGGTTCGAATAGGCGCAGGTCGTTCGCCAAGAAACTCACCGACGACCAAGGGACGACTCCGCAGAGTCAGGGCAGGGATGACAGCAGTTTGCACGCTGTGAGTGAAGAGACAGGGGCATCGCTGCAGCTGGAACAAGATGACATGATGCCGCTATCAGCATCTACCCCTCGCGTGCGACCTAGCCCAGGAAGTGCCACCCGAGGAAGTGCCACCCGCAGCAGCAAAAGGTCGGCAGCCAAAGCCACAGCAAGCCCATCTGGCACTCCAGCCAATGCAGTCCGTGCTGGGAGGATCTCGGAAATTCTCAATCGCAAAGATATAGGAGTGCCAGACACTGAAGAAGACGCAGGCGGAGAGGAATACGGTTTCAAGCGTTTCGTTGGGTACCGCTGGGCCGGTAACTCCATTGAGATCCAAGTCGAGTGGGATACAGGTGAGACAACCTGGGAGCCAGAGATCAACTTGCACGAAGATGTTCCCGACACCCTCTTTCAGTACTGGCGCGAACAAGGAGGACGGCCATCAAACCCCGTGGATCCAGAAATGTATGAAGTCTTTGCCATTCGCAAGCACAACGGCAATCGCACCAAGCTCATGGTTGAATGGGTTGGGTATGAGCCTTCTGAGGCTACGTGGGTATCTCGAAAGGGTGTGGAAGAGACGGCGAAGGATATTGTGGATGCGTACTTTGAGAGCGTGAAGACTACAAGAGGAAGAGGGAAGAAAAAGGCGTAACTGGCGAACTCGTCTTGTGTGTATTTATATAGCATACGTGCGTGGATTTGATGAGGCAGAGCGGCCGTGTTTCAGAACGACAGTTTCTTAATGTGCTACAATGGAAGGGAAATTGACGGGGTCGTGACTGATAGGATTGGCAACCCGAGGCAAAAAAAATAAGATACCACAAGCATAATACGCTGCAGGCCGGCCACAATAGTGTGAGTACATGTACTTTGGTAGTCGATAACAGCCTGAGTGAAGAAGTGCGGTTAAAAACAAGCGTTAAAGAGAATGAACTCCTCGATTATCCTCGAGAACATCTACCGATAAAACCATGTGACTAGTCACGCTGGCATAAGACGGTTTAAAAAGAAAAGACGTCAATGGATCAGTGTCAGCTTCTGGCTATACAGACGTGTTCAAGTTTTCATTTGGTAGCACACCCTGCGCAACCTGCTCAGTGGAGGCTGACACAATTTACATGTAGTTGGCAGCCTACGATGTCCAGACACAGTCGTTCAACTCTCACGTTCCAACCTTGCGCAACTCCTTTAAGAAATGCTAAAATTAGGGGTGGCCGCAGACTTTTGTCCGGACAGCCCTGGGCAGGTTTCGAACGAAGGGATGGCTTATGGACAATGATAACCAGAGCAAAAGTATAAGAGAGAACTTGTACAGTGCGCGGCAGATCAACTACAATAGAGTACGCAAGTGGCTGGCAACAGTGCCAGCGTAAAAAGGCTGTTAAAAAGATGTAACAAAAAAGCAAACGATCTCGAATATCCTCGAAATCATCTTCCATTCAGGGTCTGGCCGGGGATTGAACCCGGGACCTCTCGCAAACAAAGCTGTAGGGTTTTCCCTAAGCGAGAATCATACCACTAGACCACCAGACCAATCAGATCGTTGCAAATGGAGGAGATGAGTAAGATTAAGAAGCGATCAACTTGAGAGACAAAAAAAGAGACACGATTGAGACGTGTAACAAAAAAGCAGCATCTCTTGTTCGTTTAGAGGCCGTAAGAGCTGATTCTTGGTTATCAATTAGACACATAACATGATGTAGTGCCATTGACTATACCCGCGTAAATTTGCATGCTTCAACAATTATATATATGTAACACAAACGGAAGTATAAGCCGGGGAATATTTGGAGTTGATTCTAGAGTCCGCATCCTATCCAGGCTTGTTCCTAGGGGCTGAGGAGGTATCGTGCGTCTTGATTAGCAAGTATTTCGCAATATTTTAGCGGCCACTCTGAATATATTTGATAAGAAGGGGGCAGCCTCTGAACCAAGTCTTTTGTCCACTTAATGACTACCGACTTCCTCCCTGGATATTCGGGCTCTTCAGATTTAGCAAGACATGCGTTGCCGAGCACATAGTCTAAGAGAAACATGTGGATGAGTAAGAGATGGCCAATGTAGTTTTCAGTGTCAACGAATAACATGAACTCGTGATTGTTGAAAGTGGTCGGAAGGATAAATAAGGTGACGAATTCTCTCCATGCTACAGGTGGCAAGCATTGGTACGTTAGCGTTAGTGGACGGCATCAATGGAAGAACTATATTTACATACCTTCGACACAAGAGGTTCGTAAATTTTCCATGCATTTGATTATAGATTCGCAGTATATTAACTCGGTTGGCTTCTGGCACAGAGGCTTGAGTCTCAGAGCTGACGAATGGAAACCCTCAATGACTTCAAAGTTCTTCGGCTGCTCAGTAATGAGTCGCTCCAAGGACCGATCATGTTCCACCGGAGTGAAATATTTAAAGATGGATTTCTCGTAATTCGTTATCATGGATGTAGCAACCAAATTGCCACCTCTTGTTGTTGTAATGTAGTCAACCATGCTGTCCGGTAAGAGAGATGACTGAGTAACGAGACATATTATTGCAGCAAGCAGTGCATCCGCATCGGCTGGCTTGGCAGGCGGCTTATCCAGCTGCTCATTTACAAGCTTCATAGCAGTGATGCGATGTTGCAAGGCTTGCGATGTATAGTCAGCGCCGCCGTGTTGAGATAAATGTGAAGCACCAAGGCCCAAGACAGCGTGTGCAAGGAAGTCATACTGATAGCAATTGGTGTTAGTCGGGTTCATATACATAAGATGAATTGGTTGCACAGCATAGCGAATAGCCTCACCTGGTGTGACATGGCGGCAGCATCCATCCATACATCTTTACTTTTCAACGGTAGAGTTGGAAAAGCTGCTAGGATAAATTGGTGGTAAAATCGCAAATCCTCCATCGCGAGAGTAGATAGCGCAGCACGCGGGGCGAGCGAAGACGCAGAGGACGATGATGACGAGGAACTAGAAGTTGAGGCCGGTGTTGGGTAACTGCAATTGAGTCCCAGGCGACTACAAGGCGAGCAAGCAGGTCGTATTTCATTGCATTTCACTCTCCTCCGTTTGCAATTAAAGCATCCTAGGCGCGATTTGAAATGACCGCGGCGACTCAAAGGTTTGCTTGATTTGCGGGCGGCTGCATTTCCGTTTGATGAGCCTTGCTCAGATTGAGTCTCGTGTAAGTCGATAGATGAATCGTCTGAATGATTAGGACTTGCACTATGCTGGGGCTGAGGCATAGTGGCAGGTTGCGTCCGTCAATCGGGAATAGAAAGAGAAGAGAGGTGGGGGAAGCAACTAATTTGATTCTTGCTGCTATCGCGGCTGCAGAGACTGAATCGAACTATTGTCTAGTTCTGAGCGCGAAGAACTCATCACGCCGTTGTCGCAATCGGCTCAGCTACTCAATCGCAGCCAACGCCGACAGAGCCCGAAGTTCAACTCTCTCGAATACCCTTGCGGCTCAAGTTCCAAGGTCTTTTCAAAAGTTCAGGGACCCTCGGGTATCTTGCGCACTGGAAACTGGGTCGTCTAAGCGCGTCTTGAACCGTCTTGGGCAATGCGCTCACAACACGATAGTCGATATGACTCTACCAACATTCCTAGTCCACGCTGTGAAGACGCTCCCATCGAGTTAAACAGGAAGATCCGCCACCAATGAGCGTCGATGCACGTGATGAGTATGATACTTCACATGTCTCTACGTACCCATATTGTGCCCCTCGCTAAGGAGGCGATGGTCTGATAGGTGGCATTTTTGGCTCTTGGGTTGCTGCATACCCTGCAAACTGTGAGACAAGTGTAGCAACAGCATTCGAATCCTCGTATTCTTTTACCCGGCTTACCTTTTTTCTTTCGAGCTTAAAGCATAACATGATTCACTAGATAATATGATGGCGCTAATCGACGAAGAAGATGATGGCTTCATTCTCGTGCCTCGTAGCGGCTATTCTATTAATTGGCATGAACCACGATTTCTCGATGCTATCAGCCAAGCGGTAGACAACCTCCATGAGAATTTCTGGCCGATAAACAAAAAGATCCACGATAACCCCGAAAGAGGATTCAAAGAATTTATTGCCCACGATGTATTGACCAGATTCATGAAATCCCAGAGCGGCTGGGTCGTCACACCGTCGGCTTACGGTATGGAGACCGCGTGGGTTGCCGTGTTTGACACAGGGAAACGCGGTCCTGTCGTGTCATTCAACGCCGAAATGGGTGAGTAGTTGCGCCGCATAGGTCCCTCCAGAGGGTAGTAACCAATTTTCTTGGTGACAGATTGTCTCCCCAACATCGGCCATTCCTGTGGCCATAATCTCATCGCTACGGCATCCGTCGTCGGCGCTGTTGCAGCGGCTCAAGTAATGAAGCAATACGAAGCTGCCGGAAAAGTGGTTCTGTTCGGCACGCCAGCAGAAGAAGGCGGAGGAGGGAAAATCAAGCTTCTCAAGGCGGGCGCCTATTCTGATCACAAAGTCGACGTGAGCCTCATTTCACATCCGGGCATCACCCCGGATGCGGCGTTGATGCGAACAGCATCATATCTCCAGTTCAAGGTCGAGTACTTTGGCCGCGAGGCTCACGCGGCAGCCAATCCATGGCTTGGAATCAATGCGCTGGATGCGCTAATCGCAGGATACAACAATGTGTCCGCGCTCAGACAACAGATTATGCCTGAGGACAGGATTCAGGGCCATATCACCAACGGTGGTGTCGCCCCTAACATCATTCATGCTTATGCCGCCGGCATCTTTGTTGTCAGATCGGATACGCAGAAGCGCCTCGACGAGCTGAAAAGAAAAGTATATGATTGCTTCAGAGCTGGTGCCCTGGCTACAGGAGCTAAAGTGACTATTACGGAGCGATGGGGCTATCAGAACCACATCCCGAACCGAACAATGGCGCGATCTTATACACGCTATTTCAATGCTCTAGAGCCACCTGGTAAGATCCCAGAGGATCAGGACGTTGATGATGCACGAGGTAAATCACAGGCAAGTACAGACCAGGGCGACATTAGCCATGCAATGCCGAGTTTAAACACGGCCTTTCAGTTACAACCGGGACCGAAAGGCCAGGGCCCGCACAATCCAGAGTTTGCTGAGATTGCTGGGACGCGGGATGCATATGTGAGAGCGTTGAGGGTAGCGAAAGGATTAGCGGGAGTTGCACTAGATATTGTATTTACTGAAGGGCTTCTCGAAGACATTAAGAGTGAGTGGAAGAATACGACTGCTGGAGAGCGTGGACATTCGCAGTGACCAAGCCGTTCTATGATGAAGCCTTTCATTGCGTTGTACAAGAAGCGAGTTGATGTTTTCGCGGTTTCATATCTTATGAGATGCATCCCTTTATGTATCCATGTATTTTAGTTTGGCTGCTCTAATTGTTATAAGAAGTATTCCCTTTCAAGTCTCATTCTCACTAAGTAGAATGCACTGTGTGTAGAATAAAGGCCATGAATTCTTTCAAGATGTTTGTAGAACTTATACTACCCGATATGTGCAAAACAGGGCCTTCGCCGGCGTGGGAACCACAATTCAGAAAATAATGTCTTTAGAAACTCTCACATAAAAGCTTAGGAATAGACCAAAGCCTGATTCCGATTCTGGATACAGCTGCTTCGAAGATGCACCTAACAACAAGTATGCGAAACGACATCGGGGCGCAATTAGACTCTACCCGCTTGAGCGGGCCAGGTGCATTTGAAGGAAACCATACAGTAAACTCAACAGCATAAAGTTCCTTATTAAAAAATAACGCCAACTCAAAAACCTGTATACAGATCTGTTCATGCAAGCTCGCTTGGCCCTTGTGGCTTGCCGCGCTTTGCCATTTTCACTGGCTGCATGCAAGCATGCCCGCGATGCGGTCTACTATATCTTCTTTAGACTCCTGCTCCATTACGGAGAGATACAGCTGCCGAAATGCAAGGAGGTGGGAAGGATCGCGTGGTCGTTTTCCACATTAGAAAATTAGTTGAGTACATATAGATAAGTACATGTAGTAGGGACATTCTGACGACGCCGTGGTATAGTCGCTATGCCAGGAATCTACATGTATTTTGTACGTCGAAAACCCAATGACGATTGTTTACATGATATCTTCTTATGTAAATAAAATAGAAGATCATCAGACTTTGACATTAGGAATACCGAGTATCGATTCTCCTTGAACATCTGCATGCAGGATGACATTAAAAATCATTGGCCGCCTAATTAGCACTACTTCATTATTTGCTGGAGCCGTCAGAAGTCCGTACATCAAATGATGAGGCTACAGTCTTTATCCTTCACAGGTCGGAATAAGATGCCATTTACAGATGCATGCGTGATGCTGTACTGCCGCAGGGACTTTTGCGTGCTACTGTTCTGAGGTGCGGAACGCAGCGGAATGATCGCTGTGGCATTTCATAGCCGATATGTCGTAGGTAGGGCGTGTGCTCGCACTAATTCCCAGATGCTGTGGCCAAGGCAGTCTTCAATGTTCTTTGTGCCGTGATCCGATAATTCTGCCTCGCCGTAGGCATTTCCAATGACGCGTTCAGCTTTGTATTCCACATATTGCAACGTGACTGCTATGATAAGAACAGAATGGCTGCAGTCTGCTTTTTAAAATGAGGCGAGTGCTCGTGTTGCATTACCCACTTTTTCGAATTGGTGTTTAGAGAGAGGGAGTTCCCCGATCAAGCTGATGAGCTTCGTTTCATTGATCAATTCGCATTACTTGATATCTCTAGACTGACAAGCCATCATTGGAGAGCCTCAATCTGGGCTGGTCTCATGACCCAAACTCTAGGCTGATTCTTGTTCTAGAATGATTCTACAAAGGCATAGCGCTCGACTCGGCCGATCCTCATCAGCACCTTATTCCTCTGTGGGGATACAGTTAAGCCTATCTCCAAACCCCAAAATGTACATCCTATCGAGAACCTTTTGCGACCTAGATATCCAATCTCGTAGCCCGGCAAGAATGTACCCTGCGACTTATTGGACATAATGTTTCCCCGCAGCGCCTTAGATATCATATTGGCCCGTGTGCATCCCAGCTGAAAACAAATGAGGCTGGGCTCGGATGTCCTTGATTTCTCATCAACAACATTTAGATAAGCCTCGCACAGCTGCCTCTGGGATCCCAGATGCCAAGACTGAGTATAAATATTACCACTGTTTAGCAGCCTAACACATCTTTTCTAATTTTTACTTCACTACTTTCTTATTACTCGTGTATAACCGCAAAGTAAATAATATGGAAGCTGGCAAATCTGAGACGCAGCCTATTGCTGACGATACCACGGCTTTAAACTCGCATCCTATTTACTCTATGATGATGAGATACGACCCCCCAATTGATCAAGACGCCATTGGCGACTCTGCTAGTGACGCAGCAGAAGATGTAAATGCAGCCTTTTTACATTTATCTTTCAAGTCAAGCATCACCGACCACCTTGACATCAGGTACAACATTTCGGAAGATGCTTGTCTCGCTCACCTCAAGCTGCTTCATGCTATTCAGTCAATGAAGGAGGAAGTTGGCTACACCGACGGACTCTGGAATCTCTGGAATGACCGCGGCAAATGGGCTCTAGATGACTTACGGGCCGACGCCGACTGGCCAGCGATACGCATGCTTGAAAAGTCCAATGCTCAAACCGTGACACAAGTCGGTCAAAGCAGGATTCGCGAGAAGAGATGGGCGCTTTTTGTCGCCCGCGCAGTGGACCGATACGAGGCGTGGTGGAGGTCTCTGGTGGAAAATGACATGCTGACCGAAGAAGATATGGCGGACCCTGATAGCTACAAGTTCAAGAAATTTCCAACTTCTCGAAGACTAGTATGGGAAGAGAGGATGCTACCGCCCTTAGGTGAGAACATACACCTAAGATTTGGCAACGAGGTATTCTGATGACCTTTTTTTTTGCATCTTCTATAGACGTGTTGATGATTCTTCATACTCACATGCTTAACCCTCGTTCTTTCCTTGAGGATGCAATTCGATACGGCCTGGGCATATTTTGGGCCTCTGGTATGCCGTGGAAGTTGATTCACCAAGCAATTGATGCAGATTTCAACTATAATGTGTCTCAAAAAGCAAAGAAATATTGGTCAGCTCAAACTAGCCGTCGTTGGCGGAACCGCAAAGATCCCATGACGAGGGTAGTCCAATGCCCATTTTGTCAAACGGACAATGAAGTTCCATGGACGACCTGTGGAGCCAGCAGAGAAGCAAACCATGAAGAGTAACTAAGCTCAATGCAACGTTTTGACTATAGGATATAGGCATGCTGACTTTCGCGCGCAGATTTAACGGTCTAATTGGTAGCGGCTTTGGCGATGGCAAGTTCAGCCACAAATGCTCGTCTTGCGGGCATGAGAACTACAAAGAGCTCCTATCGCTGTCAAAATTTGTTGCAGATGCTTCTGCTCTTTTAGAAAAATCCACACCGATGCCGGGAACGATACTTGACCCCAAGTCTGGCTGCCCCGAGCTCGTAACGAAGAATAAATGGGGTCTCAGACTTCCAAGAACGTTCCCAAATCGCATGATAAAAATAGAGCTTCGAGACAAGATTCTGGAACTGATCAAACCGCCAGCTGATGAAAATGGGAATATCACAAAGGAGAAGCCCAAGAGTAAGCGCAAAAGTAAAAGCAAAGATACGAATAAAGATAAAGACAAAGACGCAAGCAAGACACCTGTTCAGTTAAGCATGGTCGCGGTGAGGAATATGATCCAAGAGACTTTGTCTGACTATAAAAAGATTCGAAACATAGACTCCGATAAGGGACCTTTTGGTCGCTATCAAATACACACCTGGGCTGGAATCTCCATCCGCAAAATGATGAGCCGATACTGGCAAAATTTCTCTCCATTCGCGCTTGACCTTTGCGCTGCTGTTATGCGTCAAGGGGTCTTTATTGAAAAAATGGTCAAGATTGACTGGCTTCACAGTCCCAACGCAAGAGACACCATGTCGCGACTTATTACGAAATACGAAAGATTCATACAGATCATGTGGAAACATCCTACGAAGATGGTCGTGCCGACGCTGGACGTGGATTTGGCTTGGCATACGCACCAGCTGAGGCCTTCGCATTATTACTATTACACAGTCTCAAAAACTGGAAAATTTATCGATCATGATGATAAGATTGACGAAGACAAGCTCAGCAGGTGCTTTGAATGGACGACGAAGACATATCAAAACATGTTTGGAGAGGTATACAGCGAGTGTACATGCTGGTATTGCGAAAGTGAGTTTGCCATCTCTTCGCGTCCTCTTCACAAGCTCGGCTAATTATATGACCATCACAACAGCAATTCGTTCCTCACAGATATCAGGACTCGGCAAGGTGCTCGGCATCTCAACCAACGACAAACTTTCCGACACGTTTCATGCCTCCGGCGAAGCTGAAACGCATACGTCAGACACTTCGGCTCACATTTCTTTCCACAATGCTGTGAAGACGAAAGAGACAAAAGATCGAAAGAAGGTTACAGCGAGAGTGCGCGCACGCCAGCGCCAATGGCTCGACCAAGAGTACAAAAAGGCGACAAAGAGGGCAGAAAAGAAAGGTCGAACGCTGCCTCCTAAAGAAGATTATTTCAGTCGATGGGGTACCAACTATACTGGTGAGTGCCATTCATTTAGTCTTCTTTTCTAATTTTCTATGTCTTCAGTTCGAATCTAATGCTACATGTTAGTGCACGGGCCCTACCCTTTTCCTCCATCGTTTGCACCTGGGATATACTACGGGTGGGATCCATCCGTAGTCCCTAATGGCGCAGCAGCGTGGGCGAATTGTGCCGCCTATACGTGCGGCAATGGGAGCATAGCTGCTGGTTCTTGCGGAGGCCCTGGAGGATGCATCAATGGCAATGGAGGGGTATGAGTCCGCTGCTTTAATGTGCATTTATAGATCTGACAATGTTTTAGACTTGCGGAGCCAGCGGTGCTGGATGTGGTGGAGGGGTTGTGGGAGGAGCTGGAGGGGGAGGAGGCACTGGAGGATGCGGAGGGGGCTGTGGTAAGTCAACGTCCTCTGAACTCTTTAATTACTTGACACTGATTTGTTTCTTTAGGTGGTAGCTGAATGAATCTAGTTTCTATGGTTCGCTATGACCATTGCCGAGTTAGCAGTCGTCGCAGTCGTTTTGTTAATCCAAGAGCTTAACTCGCCATTCTTTCATAACATAATCTAGCAATTCCGAATTGGAAATGCCATATTTCACAAAACGCGTTAATTATCACTGAATTAGTCCTTGAAATAGAGTTTGTGCCAGTTACCGGATGTATGCTCAATTCAGCCACAATTCGAGAATCCCAAAACGGAAGTGAGACATTTCAAGGGAGCACCATACTCTCACGCGCATCCTGCCGCGTCGTTAATTTTCTTCTGTCAATTTGGAGGAGAACTTTTGGCATTCGCGATTCTTCAATTCATGCATCGCAATGTGGCTTCCATGGATGGTCAACGCCGAGTTGCTTAGTGGATATGCCGGAGCGGCCCTGCTCTGCGCTACGCTGACGCAATGGCTGTCTTCTCCAGGGCTGGAGGTGTATTCGGAGATCTTATGCTGGGCTATTCTACCCATCTTGTTAAGATGCCAGAAGAGACTGGAGCATGGGCCGCTGGTAAGGCCAGCAGTCTCTGGGGAGCCGAATGCACTATCTTCGTCGTCATCTTCCCAATGGATGTTTGCTGCGGGCGTTGCCGTTTTCTCACTCATCAAGATGGAGACAGGCGCAGTTCAATTCTTGGTGAGGATCAATTCGTGCCTTATAAGAGAATACATGTACTAAATCTCAATAGCCTATATTGACACCCTTTCTTTTGGCGACTCAGAGATATTTAGGGTCTGCTTCTAAGTTGCCGGCGGGTCTATTTTCACTCTCTGCCAGCTCAGCTTGTGGAGCTTCGCTTATGTCTCTTTTTACCATATTTGTCTTCTCAGATTGGAAGATTCGAATATCATTATCCTCCATTGCTTTAGTCGCTGCTTCGTTTATTGTATATGCTGCCCTACTGCCAAGAAGTGGAACGTTTTTGTGTCTTCCGCCTATCAACTTTGAGCGCGCCATACGCCCTCTTTCCATCCGAATTGTTATCTTACTACTTTTCTTGCTGTTTATATCTATAATCTTAACTGGGCTCTTTAGAGTGAACCCAATCCACATACTTCTTTTAGGCCTGCTGAAGGCCTTGTCTTGGTACTTCACTGCCAAAGTGGTATGTCGCTTTTTCTATCAAATGTTCTACTCGCTAACTATTATCCAGGCTCAAAGTACATCTTGGGCCATAGCTACCACAATTATCACATTCTCAATCGCATCTATGGGTAATCTTTCTAGCAAAGCATCTGATACTGAGGCTGCTGCATGGGTCTTAGCCGCCGCCATAGCGCTTGGCCAAACCATTTCATCTCTATCAAAGCAAGCAAAGTATAAATCGCTGCTATGGACATTTGGCTTAATCTCATTTATGTCCTTTTTTCGGAATGTTTGGATGATTCGCAACACACAGCAGTCAGCGAAGATTTTTGGGCCCGAACAAGAGCATCCTGTTGAAGCTCTAGTACGCAACGGTTACAAGCATTTCGAGAACCTGCTTCAAAGGCAGTCCAAGAACTATCAGCAAGCTGTCGCGGAATATCAACGTCGGTATCGAGTCAAGCCTCCACCTGGATTTGAAAATTGGTATGAATTCGCAATTAGTCGCCAATCACCGATAATTGATGACTTTGACGCTATATATCAGGCAATCTCGCCACTTTGGAGGCTAAGCGGACAACAAGTGCTGGAAATAATGAACCGAGTCTATTACGTGCCCAAGAGTGAGATGTGGTTCTGTATTTACTACGGGGCATATGCTCAAACACGGTGCACACACCCAGATCGATTTTACGACAGACATATTGAATATCAGTTTGATAGACTGTTATGGGGCTTCAATGGCATTCTTCCTGACATAAAGTTTCTCTTCAATCATTTCGATGAACCACGTATTCTGATCCCCACAGGGGAAGTGGAAAAGGCTGATTCTTATCCTCTATTTAATATCAGCAACATGTCAAGGCAACCTGTTTGGGACGAGGTCACGAAATTTTGTTCTTTGAGAAAGAAGCCAGGCATCACAGAGGAAGTACAGGTACCTATAAAGGTTTTTGATCTACCTTTTGTCACCAACCGCTCTTCTGCTATTGATCTCTGTGAACACCCAGAGTATCGCAACATGCATGGCCTATTTATGAGCCCAGTATCATTTTCTCTCGTCGAGGGGCTAGTCCCAGCTCTCTCAACTGGGTCGCCTTCGACAATGGGAGATATTTTGTTCCCCAGTCCAGCATATATTGAAGAAGAGTTTACATATGACGATACAAGGGAGGTCAGCTGGGAAGAGAAGAGGAATAATATGTACTGGGCTGGGTCTACAACCGGCGCATTCGCCTCAGATACAAACTGGCCGTCTTATCATAGACAAAGATTCGTGGGATTGGTGCAAAACACGGAGCGCCAGCAGTATTATTACTTGCGGTTGATCCGTGGAACGATACAGCGTGTTGCATCCTCGTTTCTAAACGGACGATTATTTGATGTCGCTTTTACACGAATATTTCAATGCAAAAGAAAATATTGCAGAGACCAGGCGAGGACCTTTAAAATAGGTGGATGGGCTGATAAAGACAAAGCACTTCAGTCGCGACTGGTCTTTGATCTCGATGGGAACGGCATTAGCGGCCGCTACTACAAGCTGCTGGCATCAAAATCGGCACCGTTAAAGCAAACGCTTCTAAGAGAATGGCACGACGATCGTCTCGTGCCGTGGGTTCATTACATTCCTGTTAGTCAAAGTCTAGAAGAGCTGCCCGAACTTGTCCTCTACTTGACGTCGACAGAATCTGGTCAACAGCGGGCTAGAGAAATCGCAGAACAGGGACGGGACTGGTTCTTCAAGGCGCTACGAGAAGCTGACATGTCTGTCTATACGTATCGACTATTGTTGGAGCTGGCGAGACTGCAGGATCTAAAAAGACCAGCGGGGTTTCCTGGTCTCGTCTAAATCGTTCAAAGTGCCATGCAGCTGCAGCTATGTAAGCTGAATTCCGGCTCATCTAATGGCTTCCTTTCGGTCGACAGTACCCGTCATAGAATAGTCTGCTAACTAGAAACGAACTAAACAGCTAGCAACCACACAATTGGCTCATAACCTCAAGACCTTGTAAATCCTACAGACACGGTCCCAGCTCTGCATGTGTGACTCACGCGGCCAGGCTGGTAAAGAGGAATCGAGTACCTATCACAACTCCGAGAATCATCATCCCAGTCTTGTTTCTTCTCGTTCCTTTTGATGTAGCTGTTTAATATGTCGCCGTCAGCGGAGATTGCGCTACAGTTGCATCCTTTTCAAGCGGCCGCAGTCGCCAACATCAAAGCCCAAGCTGTCGCGCTTCGGCCAGATGCATTAGAAACGATATCCCACATCTTCCGCATGTCAAATGTGCCAATAGAGACCCTGGCTAATGTCCGACAAGCTATTGCGCAACATGCTCGTATTGCGCTACATTTTCACCCAGATCGCCCAGCTCGCAGCGGGCACACGGTCGTCGAAGCCCTACTAGAAGACGGCAGATACAAAAACCAATTTGAGACTGGCATCTCGAATGGCTTAGTAGCAACACAACTGGGTGGTGCCCGCGATGACTGGGAGCGCAACCTTTTCAAGGGCGCATATCATGGGTCCAAAGTTCTAGATACCGCAAAGAGTGCCTTCAATCCGGCACTACGGCCCAAATATGGAGCTCTGGATCTCGTGCGTAACTCTGACGGCCCTGCTCCACGATTCGGCTCCTGCTACTTCTTGCTTCGGCCAGAAGTATCATCTCGGTCAACGTTTACATACGGTGGGTCGCAGGCGGCTCCAAAGGATGTGGGGACAGTTGATGAGTTCGACGCAATACTGGCTGCTTTACTGGAAGAATGCTTCACAAGAGACACTGCACTGGGTGTAGAAAATGTGAGGCCAAAGGGAATGCTGGAGCTTATCAGAGGATTGAGCAAGTCGACCCTTGTAGAAGCCAATTACAAGAGGCTACCAAGCCGGAACTTGGATCACTTAATCGAGGCGCAGATCCACGGCGACGTTTTGCTCTCGCGAGATGTCGAAGCTCTCGTTGTTGATCCATCATTCTTTCTTCGTGGCGACACTGGGCCCCTTCTGAAAGCCCTCAGCGAAACATATGAGTTTCCACTCATTTTCCATCATGGATTCCAGATGCCAACAGAGAGTTGTCCGAGCGACTTCCGAGGGCCAACAATGCCGTCTCTGGCTGCAAGGGTTGCTTACAAGGGAACAGTTGTCGTGCAGGCAATTGGCGAGGGTGTGAGAAGTCTGGTGGCTGATGCAGAACAATGGGCGGATAGGGGGACTGTCGCAGAAGTTCTACAGGAGCTTAAACTGCTGTGGCATGTGTTAGTGCGTTATGGTTAAATCTTGAGCTACGAGTTAAACTCATTTAATGAATATTAATTTCCATTGATGAATAGTAATCTGCTAGTCAACTTCGGTTTGCAAACTTTCGGGTACAGTACGAGAGGCCGGAGCAATTACCTCAACCCCCCTAGTTGTCTAGTTGCTCTCCCAACAAGCTCGAAAGCTGCGCAAGCTTCGAGTTTCTCTTTAGCTGATCCCCAGATTGATTGATAAGCCTAATTTGAACCGAACTTTACGGTGCTGACGCCGCAAAGAGTCAGCAATTCATAATGCCTTTGACTGCACGGGTAGTCGGCTTAGTGAACTCTATCAAAAAGCCCTGGGCGCTATTTCTGCTTAGCTTCGGACTCTCGGGGCGGGCCATAGGATTCGATGACCCCCGTCGGATTTCGATCCAGGGGGTTGTCACTGTGCTTTAGGTCGTATTGCGGCTGTTGTTTTGGGTTGTGGTCGGAAGTCGGGCAACGCGATAGATACGCACAGGGCTATGGAGCGTCGGAGCATTTGTCGAGGAGGCGGAGCCTGTGCGGACTTTGGGTAGTTGTGACTCCAAGCTTCCTTTTCTCTCTGAGTCTTTTGTTCCTTTTCACTTTGAGATTTGGTTTCTTTTACACTTGTTCGTCTCTCGATATGGATATAGAGTTGATTGAATGAGTCCTGATATTGCTACCTGTTCTTGAACTCGTTCTTAGTTTAGATTCGGGTCGGGCGACAGCCCGTCACAAACCAACGCCACTATGGCTTCCTCTACATCATCGACCTCCCAAAGGCCAAATGGCTACCAATACGACTCAATATCCAATCTCAACACATCTTCTCAAGTTGAGTCGTCAACAATACGCTCGCCTTCTCCTTCTTTAGCAAAGCCGACGACCCGCCTCCTTGCGCCCGATCTCCAACGCGGTCTTCTAATGGCCATTATGGCCATGGATCACCTCGCGCTTGGTATAAACACCTGGCAACATGGCACCAACATCGACGGCGAGACGGATGGAATAATTGTTCGCCGATGGAACTTCACCACTGCCTACATCGTCCGCACATTCACACATTTCTGCGCCCCTGGATTCATGTTTCTTCTCGGCATGGGCGTTGTATTTCTGGCCAAGTCACGAACTCGCCTTGGCTGGTCGGCAGGCCGGATGCTGCAGTATTATGCAATGAGAGGATTTGTACTTACAGCAGTGACGGTATTGTGGGGATTTCTATGGTCAGGGGGCCAACTGTGGTTTATGAACATGGTCTTATTTGCATTAGGATTGAACTATTTCCTGGCTGGTATATTGCTGCTTACCATGAATCAGACGGAAAATCGGCTTGCGGATATCTTAGAAAGATGTTATTTGATGCTCGATAAGCGCACAGGGACGGCATATGGGAGATGGAACGATGATGGTGATGACGAACAAGGAGTTAGCCAGCCACTTTTGCGAGGACAGAGACACACGGCCAGAGAGAGCGAAAGAGCAGCAACAGCTTCATCTTTGTCCTGGCATATTCACAACATCTTTTTAGCGATCCTCAGCGTCATTACCATATGGTGGAATATCTGGTTATCTGACAACCACGGCCACTGCAGTATCGAGACCGAATCACCAGACAGCCTCCATATAGCAGGGAATTCGTTCCTCGGCATTTGGTTCTGGCCCGTTATGACTCAACACGTCATGTCAAACTTTCCCCCTCTGGCGTGGCTCTCCTTTGCCATTCTAGGCCTTCTCTACGGCCGCATCCTCTCAGCCCGGAAATGGACAACCTCTGCCATTGTCATGGGCCATGTCGCCATGGGAGTCGTCTTTTCGATAATCTTCGTTGGCACAAGGCTTCTCCGCATCGGGAACCTTTCGGAAGACTGCCTGCATACACCTGCGCAACACCATCAAACTACGAATGAGAACCCATATCTTGCCTCACCAGCATCTTTCTTCTATATCATCAAGTATCCTCCAGATGTTGCGTTCTGGGCCTTCACCATGGCTGGCAACCTCTTTGCCCTCGCGGCTTTCAGCGCCATCCCAACACATGTTGCGCAGCGCTTCTCTCTCCTTTTGAGCTATGGCACATCATCGCTGTTTTTCTACGTGGTGCACATTTGTATCGTCATGTCTCCTATAGGGCAGCTGATGATAAGTATATTTGGCCAAGAGACTGAACACGCAAGCCCCACAGACCCAGAGAACCACAAGGGCGTTACCAATCTTTTTGTCTACTTCGCGATATGGTTGGCTCTGCTGCTTGTAATGTGGCCAGCATGCCATTATTACAGTCGCTTCAAGAGCACGAAGCACGTTGACTCATTATGGAGGTTCTTTTGAGACATTATAAACGTAATAGTCTAATTCGAGTTATAGTAGGTAGCATTAATTATAAGTAAACTATATGATGTAGAGAATCGTATACATATGCAAAGCCTATGCCACATATATGCACCCTCTATCGCTAACAAACAAATGCATGAATCGTCCAGTTTTTCGTCAAGTCTTCGTCAAGTCTTCGTCAAGTCTTCGTCAAGTTTTCGTAAATCGTTATTTCCTAAGTCCGTATCTTTGTAACCAGCTGCCCTCTTTTTTCGCACCTCTCTCCCTTATGTTGGCTTCTTTCAACTGGTTCTTTGGTGGCCGCTGTTGTAGATGTTCTTGTTGTAAATTTCGTTGCTGTTGCTGTTGCTGTTGCTGTTGCTGCTGTTGATGCTGGTATTGATGTTGCTGCTGCTGATATTGTTGCTGTTGGTATTGTTGTTGTCGTTGCTGCTGCTGCTGCTCCCATTTCTGCTCAGCCCTTCTGAGAGTCGCAGCTGCATCCCAAAAATCTCTTTTCTGGGCTACATCTCTGGGCAATTCACCTCTTCGATTTTTAAGCGTGGGGTTGGCGCCCAAATCTCGCAACGCGCGAATCACTTCCCGTCGTTCTGAAACTCCATCTTCAGCGGACCTAGCAGCATAATGCAGCGCAGTCCTCCCATCAGTCGTTTGAGCGTTGGGATCGGCCTTGCCACGATCGATAAGCATCTCTACCGTTGCGGCAGAAGCATAACGAGCAGCCAAGTGAAGAGGCATACAGCCACCAGCAGCGCGAGCGTGTACATCAGCACCATGATCGAGAAGAAACATGGCAACAGCCATATGATCACGCTCAACGGCGAGATGTAATGGTGTAAGGCCGTTGTTGTCGCATGAACTCGGTGGTGCTTGGCGAATGCAGTTCGCTACTGTTTTGACGTCGCCCTCCCAAGCAGCATCCAGCAAGATATCTCCTGAGTTCGGGATCGGATCTGATTCTGCTGCATGTCCATTGTTGAAATCATCAGATGGATGCCCATTGTTGGAATCATTAGACGGAGGCTGCTCGACTGATGGTTCTGAGTGAGGAGGAGTAGGTGGGTTTGTGGCGGCTGCGGCTTTCGGATGACTGCCTATAGACTCAAACTGCCCTTGAGTTTTGGGAGATAATTGCGGCGATGGAGGCGGTCGATTAGGTATTGAAGCTGCTGGGCGCGGTATCGGTTTTGAGGCTTCTGGTACTGGATTTACTTTGGGAGTTGGCAAAGGAGGTGTCGGCGTATTTGGTGTGTTCAACCCCGAGGATGGCGCGGGTTTTATTACGGCACGGCTGTTGCCTCTGTTAGCATAACATGGCTGGATTGTAAATAAAATGGTACTAACGCATAGATATTGGACATATAAAAGCCCAATTGCAGCAGCTGCTGTTGCAATTCAGCGTCTGCGGACTTGATCTGCTCTTCGCCTTCATGCTTATAGTTGTATGAGTGCCAGAAGCCTTCCAGGCGGCCAAGAGCTGTGTTGTTGTTATCGTCCCTAGCAGCTCCAGAAAAGCTCGCCAGCAATTTCGTCATCTTCTTTAGTGTCTCGCTTGTGCCATCAATGGTGTCCTCAATTTGCAATTTTAGGGCCTGTCCGGTTTCATCCTCAATAAGGTCGGGCCTGGCTTTCAAGCAGTCCTTCATTTGCTGGATGGTATCCCGCGCGGTGGTGATCCTCGCAGAGAGTGCGCGGATCTCATCAGGAGCGTCATTTACGTTGTTGAGCCATTCAACCCATTCCTTGGCCTTATCAGCGTGCTCCGAGAGCGCACGGATTCCTGCATAGGTCACGAATGTTTTGGGGAATTTGTTGAAAAAGCTATCTGAGCCTCTACGCTCATGCTTCGGACGACGTGAAGGTGAGCTGGGCAGTGGAGCAGGCGCCGGTTGTGTTTTCCTATCGTACCCATCTACGGAGGCTGAGCGATGTCTTTCGGCGCCTGCAGCAGGTCTCTGATAGGGAGAAGTTCCCCGTACATTAGCAGGCTGTGGCCTATTATTCGTCGATGCTGAAGGCGGATATCGTCGAGCTTCCTGCCTAGCCTCTCTTGATGTAGCGCTCCATCCAGGTTTATGCGGTGCTGGTTGCGGTGACGCCAGAGGAGTCTCAGCAGCGGCCGCACCTCCATACCCAGGCCGATCACGCCTTTCGTGGCTGTCGTTTATTCGTGATCGTGAAGGTACCGGCGATTGGGGCGTCATTTCATGTGGTCGAGGAATCTCTGAGGAGGAGTATCGGCGCCTCGGAGGCGATCGCGACTGGCGAACATGAAACCCATCTCCGCCAGCCATCTTCTGGCGAGAGCGCGGCGACACAGACCGGCGGGATACAGAGTCTCTTCGTGGCGGGCTTCGCGGTCTCCCAAATGAAGCTGGAGGCGGCATCGTCGGTCTTTGCATCTCGGTGTGCGGCCTGAAGTCGTTCGCCACCGACGTCCGCCGCTCGGGTCCCGAAAGAGACGCCCGGCGACGCCTTGAGTCGCCCGGTGGCTTCGTCAAGTCTTTCGGTGCATCATCCCGACGGTTTCGGGAGAAGAGGCTTGAGCCCATGGCCTTGACGGAGCTCGATCGGAAGGGCATTGTTTCGGCAATGGCATCTCACGGCGGTATGCGATGTAGAACAGGTAGCGAGTGCTGTGCTGGTGCTGGTGAAGAGATGTTGCGCATCTAGAGCCGTCGTTGCATATATGAAATCAAAGAGCTGGTCAGAGGAAGAAGAAGAAGGGCTCCCGGGCCATTGTCTCATGCGCAGCGCAGCTCAGCTCATACCGATGCTGCTGCTGCAGTCCATAGCCACTGCAGCCTGCTGTTCAAGAGCACGAGGACGCATTCGGCATGACGCTATGGGCACGAGGCCAGGCTCCGAGGGTGGTGAGACGATGTCTAGCGTGTGGGAGCAACAAGCCACTCTGTGGCTTTGCGAACGCTTGGGGGCAATGCACGCAGCCTGGTCGGCCAATATAGGATTGATAGCGACTCACACTTTCTGTGGGTGTTGGTTGGGGAGAGATCCAATCCTACAAAGAACTCATTCCATGCACCATGAAAAGCCCATCTCGAGTCCTATGGAAGCGACTTTCATGGTGAAGACAATCGCTCAAGCGAGCACGGACATGTTCGAGCCTTGATTTTGCAGAACATGTAGCGTAACTTGTTGAGCAGAGGCTGACACAACGCAGTTGAGGGCTGCACAGCTTTTCGACTTACGTTCAACTTACGTATGGAAGCTCTCCACTCCAAGCATCAATGGAGCACAACTATTCGATGATTTTGAGAAAATTCAGCCGTGTACATACATACCTTCAGCGTTCTCAGCATGCAGGCAAGAAAGCTACTCTACTCCTTGCATACTGGTCTCAAGTAATACGAGTCTTCGCAGCCAGAGCTACATTATCCCGAGCTATTCCGAGTCTTGCCGCTCTCCAAGACATGCACGTAGCACAGCCTTCAGCCGGGCTTTTACACTTCAGTGATATGTATACCAGTAATTTTTCTCGACGCTCGTGTCTCGCATGCAGCGGCACGAATCGCACAACAAACTTGCAGCGACTCTGCCTCATTGCAGACTTATCGAACCTACCAGGCGTTTGGCCGTCCGTAATCGACTACCGTAACTGGCAGCGCACGGGAAACCGTTTTCCGCTCTGGTCTGATGACGCGGTGGCTGAAATTTAACAGCACATCTAGTCGCTACAGCAAGCCGGCTCAGATTTGCTTACCGCTACTGCAGCTGAAACTGGGAAACCAGGATTATCGAGATCGCTGCTAGATGTGCAATGAGAGTGCGAAGCGGTATTTCCAAGCTCCTCGTCGTCTCCGCTGGCGGTTTTGTCTTATTGTTGCTCCATTTTGAACAGCCATAGCTCCAAGGTGTACAGCATTTTAGGGACACTATCCTGTTGTCTTCGCTTTTTGAATGCAGTACTTGATGGCCCCAACAACTCTTGTAGAGCTGTTTGTCTTACAATCTCGTACGGTAGACTGTAGTGACATGCGTACTTCGTTTATTAGTTCATTTATGTGTCGATAATAACAGGCAAAGACAGGAAGATGGGCGTCATAGATGAAGCTGCTGATAGCCTGCTATCAATAGAAACAGGGTATAGTTATTAGGCGTGGGATACTCCAGCTACTGATGCTACTCAAGAGATACTACTTTTTTGTACAAAGCAGTTGGAAGAATTCTCTACGTGGACTAATTGCTTTGCTGATCTACAGCCAGGACGTTGGATCATGCAACGCAGTTGCTGAATAATATTCCCGTAGAAAACCGAGATTCGTCTACCAATAACCCACCACTTCGGCTACATGTACTTGTGATGTAGCAGCCACATAGCCGACTTGCATCAGATGTCTGTAAGAAATAAATGAGACAATTGTCACGAACATCACATATGCAGCACCCAGAAAATAGCAAAACTACATGTAAATATCGAACTTAAACTATCACCCGCCGAGTATGAGCAACACACCCTTCAGGCTGTTTCGATGCAGCCCCGCGTTTCAGCGACGGCGTTTGTCAACCTCAGCTGCACGACATCCGTCCGGATACGACAGCACTATTCGCAACTTGCGTCTAGACAAAAACACAAAAGTAATTTTTCAAGGTAATACAATGGCACCACAGATTCAAGCGCATTTGCTCACATAAAACAGGGTTTACAGGAAAAGCAGTGGGTGTTACAGAACTTCCCTGCTTCTCATAAAACAGCGTGCTAACTGGGACACGTACATGCATTCAGGCAACTGCCAATGCAAGAGATACCATTGCCTATGGAACTAATATCGTAGGTGGTGTCTCGCCTGGTAAAGGCAGCTCTACACATCTGAATTTGCCAGTTTTTAATACTGTTCACGAGGTAAGGGTTTCCAACTCCCACGAATAGTCTCCATAATCTGATTTATTTGAAGGCTATGAGAGTTGTCAAGCCTCATGTTAGTGCTGTTTTTGTCCCTGCGCAATTTGCAGCGAAAGCAATCATAGAATCCATAGAAGCCGAAGTTCCACTCGTCGTCTCAGTAGCGGAACATATTCCAGTACATGACATGTTACGGGTTCATGAGATACTTCGCACTCAGAGTAAGACTCGCTTAGTAGGTCCAAACTGCCCTGGAATCATTGCTCCAGAACAGTGCCGAGTTGGCATCATGCCATATAAGCAGTACAAAAAGGGCAGTATAGGTATTGTCTCCAAATCTGGGACCTTAAGCTATGAGGCTGTTGGTGCGACAACATCAGCAGGATTGGGGCAGAGCATCGTGCTAGGGATGGGAGGAGACTTGCTACCAGGTGAGGGTATAGATGATACAATATGGAGACTTGACTAATATGGTCTAGGAACTACGCTGGCTGATGGCCTCAGTTTATTTTTCGAAGACGAAGAGACGAAGGGCATCATAGTCATTGGAGAGATTGGCGGGGAAGCAGAGCTCAGAGCAGCAGACTTAATCCGAGAATATCGCAAGTCAAATCGTCGTCCGAAACCGATCGTGGCAATGGTTGCCGGACGGACAGCTCCGCATGGAAGGACAATGGGCCATGCGGGAGCAGTGCTCACGTCCAGGGATGTGCCTGCAGAGATCAAGGCGAGAGCACTTGGAGACGCCGGGGCAGTCATTGTACCGCATCCAGGAGTAATGGGAGAGGCTATGAAGAGACTTCTTGAGACATAAAGAGCTAGAATAGTAGAAATAATCAAAATAAATAAATACTAGGCTTAGGATGGAATGTGTAGATCAAGAAAAGAAAGAAACTGAGAAGCACAGAATAGAGAGAAAACAAGAAAGGAGAAAAGCAAAAGCAAATAGAAAAAGCAAAGATAAAAGTCTCTCCCGTCCCAATCATTTAGCAAACAAACAATCTATCCCTTTGGGCCTCTCTGCCTCTTTTTGCCTCCGTGAACCTCCTTCATGTGACGAGGTCCATAATCCGGTCTCTGCAGTACGGTTTTGCAAATTTTGCACGTCACTTGGATGGACCGATAGTTCGTTTCTTCAGCCCATTTTGAGTGATGGACCCAGACATGTCTTATAACGTCTCTTTCATATGGAGCGTCGTAGTCGCATCTGGGACATTTTTCGGGCCTGTCATGCCATCTATAGTGTCGACTAAAAGAAATTACACAAGCATTAGCTAAATGCCGCTCTCCTAAGTCGGTAGGGATGTTTACAATCAAAAGCTCGCCATGAACTAAAGAGAAGTGACTTACTTAAGTTGATGTCCCTTTGCGAAAGACCTCGAACATCCATTCCTATCGCACGCAAATGGCTTGGCCATATCAAGAGGTGTAGATGATAGCTCCTCGTTAGCTTCTGAAGAGGAGGGAGACCCCTGTTGATCTCCCCTAACTGTTGATGGTCCTGGTTGGCTTCCGCCGTCGTGAGTGTCGTCATTAGAATCATAAAAAGAAGAGTCAGAAAATGATGAAAAGTAAATTGGGGAAGAGTTGTTGCTAGCAGAAATGTGATCCGTTGCTTGGTTTAGTTGATTACTCGTTCGGTCCGGGAGATCCCATTGCGAACCCGTTGCTTGGCCATCCTCAGACTAAGTCTCATTCAGGGAGTTTGAATTGGTCTCTGCGCTCATGGACACTTCAGCCTCTGTAGCCGGAGAATGTAATGCTTGGCTATGCTGCTGTAGCAGGCTTGGGTTAATGGCAGGATCAGGTACATATTCCTGTACGCCACAATGATTCAATATGGATGGCCAGGGTGCTGGCACAGGTCCAGCAGAGTTTTCGTCTGTGCCACCACATTCGCTGCCCGTTTCATCCCCTAGCATGGGATCGAGCGCCCAGAGATTAAACGGTTCACTACCATCTTCACTCATTGTGAAGCCCCTGTTCAAGCATTGACACCCAGCTTAATTCGTGTGGCGTGATTAGAACAGCTTGATTCTGGTCCACATCCAGTTTGCCCCCTAAGGTTGTTTGGACCTGGTCTTGGTGGGTAGATGCAATCCACCCTTGGATGCCACCGAGTAGATTGCGAAGCTAGCCGTATAATTGTCTCTGGTAAGATTCCGATGCTGCAGCTGACAGGTGGTACACGACACCTACGATAATTGTCTTACAAAGACCTTTTTGACAATGAGTGTTGAATCAGGAGGTATTCCCACGTATGCACATCTGGCTCTAGAAACCAACCTGCCTTGAAGAATTATCTCAGGGGAAATTGAAAAGATGAACTGCGCAGTAATCGACATATAAGTTAGCTTAGACAGAGATACTGGGCCAAGAACACATGTACCAAGCATATGGGCCGCTGAGACTAGAGGCAAGCGTCTCTCACAGAGCAAGGTAGTAAGAGTAAAGTATCCCGTTGTTGCTGGGCTTGTATGGATAAAAGTTACGAATCCTAGTTACGTCGATGTGGGAGGCCGACAATCATAAATAGTTATTTCTCGTTCAAAGCGGAGTCTCTCTTCAAGTTGATAGTGGAGACTTATTGCCCGAGATGAGGGAACATAGCATACGTTGATAGGTAGATGCAAGTTTCGGTCGGGAATTCGCCCAACGGCGTGGAAGTAGCCAACTTCGTACCTTTCTATTGTGTCTAAGGATGATAAAGCTGCGTCATGTCTGCCCAAATTCGCACTTTCTTGAAAGACAGTGTTGGTTTGAAGTTACAAAATCTACAAAGTCCTCATCGAGGCGTCAACCAAACACTGACCAACACATGTAATCCTGCACGCTGCTGGAAAAAGACTAGACGCCTGCAGAAGAGGCTATGCAAGGTGAGCAGCTTTGAGTTGTAGGCCACCCTTAGCCGCAGTCATAAATCACACCTGAATCCGTGTACCCAATCAGATCTGATTCAACCCATGCGATTTCGTGGGTTCCATCGCAGCCTGACACAGTGGCCCCGCTTGTAGGCCGCCCAGGTACGTTCGAAGAGGCCGCACAAGTAGCAGCCAAAACGCCTAACGGCCTATTATAGAGTACTGAAGTAATAGATTGTGTCCGCCAAGCAACAATCTATTGAGCAGAGTGCCTTTTTGTTGGCCTGAAAACGCGGCCTCTACGATAGTTGGCCTCATAGCACCCGACCTCGTATTATAACGCCAAACGGCTAAGCGATCGTCCTATAGGACTTTGTGCAAGCTGTTGGTGCAATACACATGTAATCACGACATTGGAAAGAGGAGGCTATGAGTGTGGATCTTGGTTTGTGAGGAAGAAATACAACGATAAAAGACAGCTTCAGCCATCTGTGACAAGTAACGCGCCTGCATTATACACGGCGTTTATCAATTTACTTTCCCCTAATCGGGTTGCAATATTCCTCTCTATCTCAGGCAGCCGCGAAAATGCCACCTGCTGCTGGAAGTATGAGCCATTTAGATGAAGAAGTTCGATTATCATGCTAACTCGGCGTCTCGACTCAAGATAGTTCCTCCAGTGGCCAAAAGCCAATCCCATTACGATTCAAATTCTCTCGTCGCTTTTATGGGTCTATTCTCCTGGAAGTAGCTTTGAAGAAGATTCGACCAACAGCTTTTTCAGCCCCTCAACATGAACCCAATACCATGCATGAGAATGTCGGCAGCGCAGAGCAAACTTTCAAGTGCTTCGCTAACAGGCTTGCTCAAGTCTGCGATAACGAACGCGGTAACGGTGGTGCCACTGTTACTGGGATCGCGGTGCTAGAAGAGCCCGAAGGCATGCATTATATCATTGGGGCGAATAACCGAAAGAAAGAAGAATTGAAGAACGTTGAAGACTTCGTAAAGCAGCTGCTGAAGATCATTTCAAAGCCTATGGAGCGGCATACAGCAACGATCTCGTCGACACGAAGAGAAGCTTTGTGGCACATTTTAAGATTCAACAAACATCGAATCAAAATTTACCTTACAGGTGCTGTGGATCATTTAGCAGAGTGCATCGAAGACTACGATAGACGGCATGCCCAGACACCGTTAGGTAAGCCGCCCGAACGATAGTAATGATTCACTGATTCTCATAGAAACCGTATAATTTTCAGCATCAGGCGCATTGAGATTCAAAACACAGATTTCTGAGTTAAAAGAGTTGCTTGAGTTCCACAGGGACGGTGAGCTAAGCGAGCACCACGAGTCACAATGTAACTATCTTCTTGTCAGTCAAAATCCAGGCTCGTCACTAACACCATATCTAGTCTTTTCCTCATGCGAGAAGGTATTTCTATTCATCGATGATAATCAGCGCCTGAGTTTAGGAGACTCAATTTCAGAACAAGCAAGAGAGGGTCAGATGAACAGCTCCAAGCCGTGGCTCGAACTTCGCCACTTTCTCGGCCGTCTGCATTCGTATCATCTCGCTGTAGAAACGATGCTTCGCGCCCGTCGTTTTTGGGACCGATTATGGGATGATATCAAAGTGACGGTAATTCCTTCAGCCACGGCGATTCCTCATCCTCTATACCAAAAGGGGCCAAATGCAGACAACATACTTGGAAGATTGACGTCTGACAAGGGATTATTGGAAACATACCGCAGCCGGGCTGCTGTACTACAGGAATTCGGCCTTGACGAAAGAATCCTAGCAGAATGCAATAGTTCCTCTCAAACGCATAGAGTACATGCAGAGGTTCTCGTACTCGACTATGTGCTAGGCTATCTGCGGGACACCGAGGACGCCCAATTCTACAATGGCTGGCGATATATCGGTAGCAGCAAGCCGACATGTCGCCTTTGCAACTACTATTTCATGACACACTCAAGTGGAATCCAGGTTCGCGAATCACATAACAATCTTTATCCTCATTGGCGTGCCCCAGACGTCTTTGACGACAACGCAATGAAAAAAACGGAAAGTCATCTCCAAGCGGTCCTAGAGAAGACTAGGGCAGATGCGATACGATCACTCATGTCTCAAACATCGCAAGGTAGGAGATATGATTCGAATTCATTTTCGGATATGCCGCCTTTAGCGTCTCTCAGAACTGAAACACCGTCAATTAGCGACCTTACTTCTAGATTCCCAGCCCTCAGGATCATCTCAGAAGAGGACGACAGAAGTGCAGCTGGAGAAAGAGAAGAGGAAGAGGAAGAGGACATAACGCCTGTTTTCCAGGGTCGTGGGTCTGCGCTCTCTCGCCGTTGAGAGCTCATTCTTTGTATCTGCACTGTTGTGGATAGTTGGATAGCAGTTTCGGTCTCGGGCTTAAAAGTCCAAGACACGTTGGAACGAATAGCTAGAAAAAGGTTATCCGACATCTTCATTTCATGGTCTAACACTCTAGCTAAATCCCAATAAGGCAATTAGTAGTTTATGTTCGTCAAATCTTTTCATAAAAAACAATGTGAAAGGTCATCACGCTGTCAGTCTTTAGAATGCTGTAAAGATGCAGAGAATCGACACTCGAGCAGGAATCATGGTGGCTGATATATAAACGATAAAAATTCAATTAGGCATGCCATAGTAGAAGAACAATGGAAAGACATTTCAGGTGCGCACATTCAGAATTCCGTCCACTTTTCGAACATGACATCTCTAAATCCTGAGACATGGAGGCCGTGCTACCAGAATCAGCGCTGCCGCTGCTTCTATCGCGCTTTCATTTGGTCACTCTAAAATCCACCATGATAACAGGCGTAATGCCGCAGAAACTTTACTATAATGACATGAGAATCGGCTCTGGTTATGCACAGACTTGGAGTCGCTTAATATCTCAGAAACTCTCTTATAATGACAGGGTCTTAAATTGCCCCTGTCACAGCTTGCGCTTCCGTATACTGGAATCCTACCTAGTATATAGTATACCAACACAACAGTGAGACAAATTAATCACTATATTACACGCAGTAACTGAAGGCAATATGCAACATTATCAGCTTATCTATGAATTGATTTGGCAGCATATGTGAGGGGTCTTTGATGTTGTCGTAAACATTAAGTGCTTGTTCCAGGGCCATGCAAGTAAGCCGATTTCGGGTGCGGGGGTGATGCGCAATCGTCCAGCTAGATAATCGAGGTGGAGAGACTTGAGGCGCAGAATCTGCTCTTGGAAACACTATTGATGCATATAGTACCTACAGTAAACCCCGGCAGGGAACCCCGGCCAACCCGTAGCTTAACTGTAGTTTATCAGAACGCATAAATGCTCCGAATAGATGTCGCCGCATATACTTAGATGGCGGATCATCAAGGGCCAACCCTGAATAAACAGTTCACGTTTGCTCTTCACGGTTAACCAGGTGAATCGAAACACAAGCGAGCTGAATAACATATTAATCACTATTAGACCTATGGATATACCTACAGCTTTGAGAGCGAATAACTGCTCAACATGTGTTGCGTGGACGGCAATTGGACAGGGTGAAACCTGCATATTTAGTTGCTTTGAGGCGTGTCTAGATCCTCTACCCCGCGAAGCCATCGCTACGGTATCATCCGTTGGGCCCTCCCAGCAACGACGATCTCGTAGCCAACAGCCTATATTGAGGACTGCCTTGCATGGAGTACTACGGTATCGGACGCAAGGAAATTAATTATCTGGACACGTGGACGCCATACAACATCATAGTGTAACGCTCGCGTCTGTGGTATCGGAAAGCGTTCTTGGGGGTCTCTGCGGGATGTTTATAATCATTTTGTCCGGCTAAGGAAGCTAACCTGATCTCTTCAGCCACATAATGAAACGAGCTGCCCATAATTTGTAGCATCATATTAAGGTGTCTCACCACATCCACAGTCTACCTCTGTATTCTAATCATTGAATGGAGCCTGACTGAGGATCCGCGAGCCTAGTCGTCTTACTCCGGAATCGGTTTTTATATAAGAAGTCCACAGCCGCGAACTATACTAATCTTCATCAATTGAGGTTCTTACGTACCTTCAAAGTATCTAAAAATTGTTGACTTTGCTTCAACAGTTTCTCTTCAACATTGACGGTGCCGGCAACATGGCCCACGTTGTCACGTTACCTACTTTCAAGCAGCCAGGAGACGTTTCGGCATCGCAGGCTAGGGCCATTGCAGAGCAATGGGTGAAAGACTTTGAGAGCGCTCTTCAAAGTAATAGTACAGACCAACTGGAAAAACTGTTCGTCAAAGATGCTTGGATGCGCGATTTGCTCTCGTTTAGCTGGGACTTTCGCTGCCTCCAAGATCGAGACAACATCATCAGCTACTTCCAAGACAACCATAATGCCGACATCAGTGGCATCCGTCTTCAAGAGAATGGCGCTTTTCAGCCTGCCTTTTTAGCCCCATGTCCTGGTATACAATGGATTCAGAGCATGTTCGAATTTGAATCGCGCCATGGTCGTGGAAAGGGCGCGATTCGATTAGTGGTAGATGGCGAGGATGGCAGTGAATGGAAATGCTACTTGATGCATTTTAGACTCAAAGAATTAAAAGGGCATGAAGAAAAGATTGGACTAAGACGCCCTGGAAGCTATGATGCATCAGAGTACAACTGGCAGCAGCGACGAGAGAGGCAACACGAGTTTCTGGATGAAGAGCCAACTGTTCTCATCGTTGGCGCTGGTCAATCTGGTCTTACAATTGGAGCCAGACTCCAGCAGCTAGGCATTCCGTCGTTAATCATTGAGCGGTTGGGCCGTGTTGGCGATACTTGGCGTAACCGCTACAAGGTATAGTACAGCTTTCACACAGTACGCGATCTTCCTGCTAACGACTTAATAGACGCTCTCGACACACGATCCAGTCCACTACTGCCACTTGCCGTACATTCCTTTCCCTTCACATTGGCCCATGTTCACACCCAAGGACAAACTTGCTGATTGGCTGGAGTCATATGCCAGCTTGATGGAGCTGAACGTTTGGTGCAGCACTGAGCTCCAGAGTTCATCGTTTGATGAAGCGACGAAATCTTGGTCAGTTGTTGTCAAGCGAGCGGATGGCTCAACCCGTGACCTGAAACCAAAGCATGTTATCCTTGCGACAGGAAGCTCGGGCGAAGCTCTCATTCCGCATTTCGATGGCATTGAGAAGTTTAAAGGGACTGTGTATCATGCCAGCAAGCACAAAGATGCCTCAGAGCATTCAGATCTCTCGAATAAGCGTGTGGTGGTCGTCGGCGCTGGGAATTCGTCTCACGATATTTGCCAAAACTTCTATAACACCGGCGCCAAATCAGTTACTATGCTTCAACGTGGCGGAACATATGTTTTGTCTGCGAAAAAAGGTCTCTTCATGCTATTCACAGGCACGTATGAAGAAGGCGGGCCACCAATTGAAGAATGCGATGTCATGGGTCAAAGTATGCCACTTCCTATCACACTTGCATTTTGCTCTCTCCTCACACAGGCCATAAAAAACGTCGAAAAGGATACCCAGGAGGGGCTAGCTAAGGCCGGATTCCAGCTTGATTACGGAGAAGGTGGTGGCGGTCTCTTCCGCAAATATCTTACTCTTGGAGGTGGCTATTACATCGATGTCGGATGCAGCCAGTTGATCATAGACGGAAAGGTCAAAGTGAAGTCGAATCCAGGGGGTATCAAATCGTTCACCCCGGATGGACTTCTTCTGGCAGATGGATCTGAGCTGAAAGCCGACATTGTAGTTCTTGCAACGGGCTATCAAACAATGCGCAGTACGGCAAAGACTCTTTTCGGAGACAAAGTTGCTTCACGGCTAGGAAAAGGCTGGGGTATAACTGAAGAAGGCGAAATGGATTCGGTAAGACCTCAACATCATGTGATTCAGGCGCGTTCGAACTAACTCGTCTTTTTCTAGATTTGGCGATATAGCGGACATCCGAACTTTTGGTTCATGGGTGGCAACCTTGCTTTATGCCGAGGATTCTCACAGTTGCTAGCGTTGCAGATTAAAGCAAGCGAACTAGGAATTTACGAAACACCAGGAACCAAGAACAAGAGTAACGGCGTACGGAATGGAGTGTAGGCCATAGATGTACAAGAGTATTGATAGCTAAGCACTGCACAGAGCTTCTGACTAGGGGCTAGAAGGGAAATGCTGTCCAAAAGTTTAGCTCTTCTATCAAGTGATCTAACTTTAACATACGTCTAGTCTACTGTTACTATTGCTCAGTGTACGTAACAATTATATAAGTGTATTTATTTATAGGCTGAATGCCTTGTTGAGCCACAGCCGGGGTGTCGGTGAATGGAACTGGGGTATTGGATAACGTTTCCTTTATTACAACATGTGCACACTATGTATGATGTTCTAAAATCCTTAGCTTCAAGCAGACAATGAAAACAGCTGCATGGGATAAAAATATCACATAGACTACGAGAATTTGTCGACAATTGCATGATAGATTGCTGAGTGGGGTTGGCAGCCCCCTGAGAATGTTTGTTTTTGTCAGAGCGATTGGGGGGGGCGAGAAGATCATCCAGCACATTTCAGCTCTTGAATTTTCAAAGAAGGCCTGAATATATGTAACTGAGCTATATAGCGCCAGCTTTCTTTGCTTGGTAAGTCGGTGAACTCAGCGCCCCGAGCAGGGAAGCATAGAGATATCCCAAAACTGGATTTGCGATATGTTTGCCTGGCAAGGCTCACAACCCCCCTTATTCTTGGCCAACATGGAACTGAAACGTCAAGAATGTTCGTAGATGTCAATATTGACGGCAGTCTTATATCAGGGTTAGCCTACCGATATAGATAGCTTCTATAGAGCTATATACAAAGGTCTAAATCTACTACACCAAGTCATGTAGCCACAAGGAGATCCGTTGGATGATTAACTGTGCACCTACTTCCATTTAACCGATACAAAGTCCATAACTTAGAATTCCTCTGCGAACACCAGCGTCTCTTCAACTGACATGGCTTAACGCTTTCTGCCCCAGCCCTTTTGTGCTATGATTATATCAACAAGGAACTCGCTGATGGCTAGGCGCCCAAGCATTATCTTGAATGCTGCAGAAATGAAGAGTCGTTCACTATCGTTCGATGCATGTCGGTGCCTTGCATTAGTCTGCCGTTTGGACTTCTTGTCGCCAGGTATATGCATATATCCAAGCTTGCAGAAGTATGTGTTTGGTAAAGCAGGAGCTTCGGTAGATCCTGAGGGTCGATCGAGATAATTTTGATAAAGAATATTCGTTGTCTCATTAATGTCGTCTCTATACATGCAAGTTTTGCCCTCCCAAAAACCAATGCGCCATCATAGATCTGGAACAGGGTTGACCTTCTTGATCACCTTTGCTGGTGAGCCAACCGCAACAGAAAAGTCTGGAATCGACTTTGTGACGATGCTTCCCGCGCCTATTGTGCATCCCTTTCCAATCGTCACGCCCGGCATGATGGTGGTATTGCCACCTATCCAGCAGTCATCTCCAATGGTGACGCTGCCGCCGTACTCGATGCCGTTGCGACGCGACTGCACATCAGTCTCGTGTGTGGCGCCGAATATTGAAACGAAGGGACCGAATAGGACGCGGTGGCCAATGGTGACCATGCCACAATCGAGAATAACAAGGCTGAAGTCGTTAAAAAGCGCTCTCGTCAGCCTTTACCAACGAAAGGTGCTCGCCAGGGGTTTTACGTACTTGAAGTTGGCGTAGAAGTTGTCTCCGATGGAGGTGTTGCACCCATAATCTATGTTGAACGGCGTCTCAATGAAGGGATTTGATCCGATTTTGCCAAGCGCTTCATTGAGCATCTTCTCTCTTTCGGCAACCAGAGTGTCGTTGGTGGCGTCGTCGGGGAAATAAGAGTTGTATTTGTGGATAAGCTTCCGAGCCCGAAATCTCCCCTCGACCAGCTCCGGGGCTTGAGAATTGTACCTAGAAAAAGTAATAGGTTGGTTAGACGCTGAGGTATTCCATATAGGGCCATTTGGAGACGGCGAGAGGGCTGAGAAATTATTTACAGCATTCCTGATATCATTTTTTCGTAATCCTCACACCACGGGATGTTGGTGAGTGTCTTGGCGTGCTCAATCGCAGCCGGATCCTTTACTTTGCTGGCCATCGTGACGTGATGATGAAGGTGGCTGAATCGGACGCGGCAAAGTTGTAAAGGAGGGGGAAGAATGGCCCTCCGACGAGAGAGAAGCTCCCGGACTAATATACCAAAGCAAAAACTATCTTTTGCCAGCGACAACAAACGTGTTCAGAGCCAGCCAGTCCATGGTCTTTTGCCCGAGGGCCTCAGCGGCGGGGCATTGGAGCCAGTCAGCAGCACCCTTTTCCCACCCCTCGCCTACACGTTACATACTGCTTAGGATGCCGTAGTGAAAATGGATCTAGAAATTAGATGTCGACGGTGCCCGAAGAACAACCGCCACGAGCACGAGTCGGTGCAGTGAACCTTACTTTCGGGAATACCATCGTAGCATCGGCCGATCCGGACGGTGGGGAGTTTCAACGCCACTACGATACGAAGCACGAAGGGCTCTGTGCGGCATGTACCTGGTCAATTGCGCTATTTCGCCGGCTATATTCCTTAACCAGGTACAACTAACTGGTAGACTACTGCTAGGCCAGATTATCCCTCGGTGAGCGCCATCAGCGTACCTATCGTTATAAACGAGCCAGCTCAACGGCTCGCTGAGCGGCGCGCCCAAAATCAGACTCGACATGGAGGCCCAGCTGAGCATCCGCGAGCTGTCATTACGCGAGAGTTAGCAGTGGTCATCTGTCACAAAGGTGCGGTGTGAAACAAGGGGGGCCGTTCAGCCTGGACCAATCTGCTGGTACGAGGGCACTCACCAGCTTCAATCCTTCCGCTGAGTTAGTTCCCTGGAGCCGGACGACCAGTGGAACGGACAGGGTCATCTCCTGCGCGGCTCCAATGATGGATTCGGCAATCATGTCACACCTAGTGATGCCTTCACAGTGTCAGCTCAGCCCTGGTAACAGGGACTTTCAGGGTCCTCTTCCGCGGCCTCTTCTCACCTCCGTATATGTTGATCAGTATGGCTTTTACCCGCTCGTCTGCCATCACGATCCCAAAGGCTTGAATCATAGTCTCCTTAGTTGCTTGGCCCCCAGCATCTAAGAAATTAGCACTGGTCCCCCCATGAAGGCCAATGGCATCGTTTGTAGCCATCGCCAGTCCTGCTCCATTCACAATGTTTCCGATGTTGCCGTTCATCTTAATATATACCAGGCTGTGCTGTTCGGCCTTGACTTCGTCTTCCACCTCCTGACTCGAATCGCGCAGGCGGAAAATATCAGGCTGTCGCTTTGCCGCATCATCGTCGATGACCAGCCTGGCATCAAGGGATGCAAACAAGCCATTTTCTAATCTTGCAAGAGGGGCTATCTCCAATAGCGTCGCATCTTTTTCCCGAAAGATACCATACATCTTTGTCAACATGTCATCCAGGTTGGTCACTTGGTCGGCTGCAACGCCCAAGAATTCGGATATTTGAATAACTAAATCTCTGGTTATACCTTGAGAGAAACCTAAGGTAAAAGTGGAACTCGTCTCTGCGTTAATACTGTCCTCTTGCTTGGAAATGATGATTGCAGGACAGTATTTTTCTCTGTCAATGGTCATGGCTAAATGCCACAGCTCCTGATGGGTCATGACTTCAGATACCAAGATCTGATTAACGGTAATAAACTGGTGACTGATGCCATCAGAGATCACCCGACGATTGAGCATTTTATCGGCCATATCCATTGCTTGCTCAGGATCCTGGACTTTCTGGCTCCCCCCTCTTAGCCCATCTTCAAATGAGAGGCTGTCTTTATGTCCCCATAGAACCTGAGCTTGTAAAATACAGCTTCTGCCTACGCTCTTTACAGCTTCTCGAACTTCAAGAGGCGTACGTGCCAATATTCCACGAGGGACCGGAACTCCGGACTAAACATTCCATGTTAGCGTTCTTTAACAGGGCCAGACAAAGTCGACGTACTGCTCTGAGCAAGTCTTGCGTTTGGTAACTATGCAAAGTAAGGCGTCTCAGTTGTGGCTTGGGTGAAAACTAAGAAGTATTAGTAAATGCCGCCTCTAGCAGTAATCCATCTATCTGGTGAATCCTGCAACAACGCATGCAGCAGTAGTTGTGATACCAGACCTTTTGCGTTGATCGAGTCAGCACCCCCGCACGGGGTACTTTGGCAAGAGAAAGTCTCATGGAGCTGCTCTGTATGTGAAGAGATTGTGAGAGTGCAGGCTGTCTTCTAGCAATAGTCGATAATATGTCAGAAATGATCAAAATATGTTATTCGCTTGAGATTCAAGAGCTCAGTTATCACTTCAAATGGTCTATAGCTTCTGGTACGAGCCTCTAAGAAAGGTCCTGGCGCGAATAGCCGGCGTTAGCTACATCATCTAGCCTAGAAGCTACTTAGCCGGACACAGTGTCCGTACCCGTAGTGCAGCTAATACATACCAAACTCACAATTAGCATGTCATTCACATACAGACGCGGTGTCATCAACTAAGCCTTAAGGCTTGATATTATTCTGGTTGGGATTTGATATTCTATATGGAGTACAGCGGGACCAAGTGCTGCAACAAGGAATCTTGATTCAGGGAGGCACACTTGTAGTGAATAAAGGGGGTCATATAGTATTGTCAAACATCATATGTACATGAGTCAAGTAACTTTCATTTCAGTGCTTCATGTGAAGATAAATAGCATTTAAAGCTGTACAATTCCCACCCGGTTTATATCTTCTTGGCGATGGAAGCTTTCATGATAACAAGTCCCTCTTTCTCTGCTACCACATCGTACACACGACTAGTCTTTGTCTCGTTTATATCGAGCGTCCGAAGTTGGTATTCTTCTCCTCCGTAAACAGGTGACATAGCCCTGTAGCTGATCTCGTCAGGCCCTGCGCCCTCTCCGTGTATGTCTCTCCAATAATCCAGCAAATTGACAACATTCAGGGGCCCGTGGACGACTATACCAGGATGTCCCTCTGCAGTCCGAGTCCAATCTTCATTGTAATGAATCTTATGGCCGTTGAATGTCAGAGCTGAAAATCGAAATAGGCCAACTGGAGACCAAGACAGCTTGCGTATAGGAAACGCTGCGTGGTAAAAGGATTAGTCACAGTCGGTAAGCACCGTATAAGCACAGCCTCGAGAAAGACGTGTAAGACTCACCACTGCTGTCATTTATTACATCCGAGACAGATGATGGAGCTAGGATATTGCCGTCGATTCTTCTAAGCGCTATGGCCCCCTGAGGATTAGAAGACAACGTTGGCCTAAATACCCACGACCTTGTGTCAACAAGTGCCAGCCCCCTTGATCCATGAATCTTCTTTTCTACTTCAACGAGTACCATCTCGCCCGCGGATCTGCTCGTCTTGGCCACTGCACTGATCAGCCTTGTGCTCTCTTCTGCTTCCTCTCCAACCCTCAAGGGATTGCTTCTATCAAACTTCATATGGCCGCCTGCCCACATCCTCCTTGTAAACGGGGCGGGTGCATTGAATGTGCGGTCACTTCCGTCAGCACCAAGTTGGCTCTCAAGCTCCATTGGCGTGAAATAGACAAGGTGGTGTGCTGAAGGAATCGGTGTGCCTGCAGGAACGCTCGTCCTGCTTATGTCGTGGCCATTAAGGACTGGTCGGCCGAGCATCACCGCCAGTTGTTGCAGCTGATTTGAATCGATGAACTGGCTACGTTTTATGACTTTGTTTGCAAACTGATCCATCATGTAAGACGCTGCTTCTGCGGCTGTTTTGATCTGGGGAGCTGATGTCGTTGATAAATGGCGAGCTGCTTGTAAGACCAGCCGCGTTACCGGCTTCGATTTGCGTTCTAATCCTCTCATTATGCTGATATTCGGCCAAGGAGTGCGAGCAGTCATTTTTCTTTCCGCTATTAATGAAAGTGACTTAATGAATGATAATTCTGATGTATAAAATGTATGCCAACTGATTGCACTGCGGCATTCCACTCCCAATAGTTCACGACATTGGCTTTTTGTCGAGATGACTCGACAACTCGGCTATTTGATTTTCTCAAATTGCCGACTATCCTTTGGAGACCAACCAACAGACAGCGCGCTTATAGTGGCTGTATGCCACTAACGGCAACTATCGACTGCTTAAAATCATACTGGCTAATTGCGCTATGTCTGAGAATTGGGGTCAGCTCGTTTCTCCGTGCGTACAGCTTCACATTTATACGGAGTACCCGAGCGCCTCCACCGAGAATCTGTCAGCTCGGTACCTGTATCTATCATAAGCTTGATAAGAACTTGAATCTTTCGTTTATTTGCATGAGAAGAGCCGCCTACTGCCAATTTCACGCGTCTAGTCTATCAAGCTAAAGCAATTAGTCTGGTATAAGGAGGTTGAAACAACTCAACACCCCTGTTTCCTAGACATCCATCGTCTCCTCACATCTCTCTACTACCTTCATGGCGTAATATTCGCTCAAATAGGGCTCAAATGAAGGCCTGTTAGCTGTCATGTGTCGCTCTTCATCTCATATCAATACCGAATAAGGAGACGGCAGTCCCACATGCACAGACATTGGAACGCGGAGATAATGCTACGGTGCGTGGGCAGCGTCTTTGCAACTGCAAGTAGCAATATGTACGCTGCGGCACATTTAGCGGCATCTGGTAGTCAGATCGCACGCGCTACATTTTGGGAAAAACTTACGCAGCCCCAGCAAGCGAGAGCCTGCATGAGATCTAATTTAGCCCTGCCACTTGGCCCAGTCACCGCTGGATCTAGAACCCTGCAGACAGCGGAGTACGGAGTAAGAATGGGTGACAGCCGCAGCGTTCCGAGCAAAAGGTTCCTGACATCACCAATAGAATGGGGGTTTTCTGATAGTTATCGTCGTTGGCTCGCTTTTAATTCTACTGCTAGTGTTTTGTGTGTTCCGGGTATCTGGTACGAGGCAGCAGTTGACTTACAGCTACCTCTTTCGTACATGCCCGCACAGCTACGTGCATCATAGCCTTCCTTTTCATGTGGCTCTCTAGCTTTGCAGCAAGATACATGTAACAGATGTGGAATAATATCCCGAAACTGAAAAGGCATTAGGTACTGATGCATGAAGCGCCCAATGTTAGTGTCATGAATGTTGTTTTTAGCACATCCATCCACGGTTACTCTGTTACGAAGCAGATGCAACGTCGGATCCGATAACAGGGTACTATCTCAATCTTCCTATTAGATGTCATTATGCAAACCGGAATATGGAATATTTCCAGATATTGAGCTCCGAGCTCTTTCAACTGAAATAGCTTCACTGCATTTGTTGGTGACTTCCGCTTTTGCAAAATAGTCGTGTGTTATACGAAACATGTTCTCAGCGAATTCGCCTCATTTGACATAACAAAATAAGAAATATCTACGAGAAAATATCTTTGAAACTGATGTGAACATCATGTAGTTGTTTCATTATCCTGTTGAAGCGCCCTTCCAGTGTGAAAGCGCCGGTCTGCGATGTCGGACCACTGACGCACGTGGCTCTGTAGATCCTGCTGTTATCTGCTTGGCTTACCAAGTTCAACCAGAAGCTGGTTTTTGGCAGAAACAATGCTTTCCGAGTTCTTCAATAATTGGAAATTTGCTACTTGTTAACACGCCGTGGATTTTGATGACACAAAATGGCCAATTCTATTGTTGGCGATGACTATGAGCTAAGTCGTGTCCATACAAACGACGAGCACGGCCATGGAGAGGACCCTAGGAACTCAATTGAGCAAACACTGCCTCCAGCAGACTATGGACGCGGTGCCTACGTCGCTCTCGCATGTTGCACAGCTGCTCAAGCTCCTATCTGGGGTACTTGTTGAGTTCCTACTATGAATTATGAATGAACTCTGTCGAACATTGACGTAATGCTATAGGGTATTCTGTCTCCTTCGGCATCTTTCAAGAGTATTACAGTAATCCCGATCATGGCATAGACGCTTCTCCCGGAGCCATTGCCACTGTCGGATCCGTGCAAATGGGAGTCATGTATCTGTTGATGCCCGTCGCATTCGTGATACTGAGCAAATATCCGTACCTACGACGCTGGTGCGGTCCTTTGGGGCTCGCTCTCACCGTTATAAGCCTGTCTGCCTCTGCTTTTGTTAGCAGCATTGCCGGTTTGATCGCGACACAAGGCGCTCTTTACTCAATTGGCTGCGGGCTTCTCTTCAGTCCAATTTCTCTCTATATGGACGAATGGTTTGTCCACCGCAAAAGTCTGGCCTACGGCATTATGTGGTCGGGAAAGTCATCAGTTGGCGTCGCCATGCCTTTTCTGTTCAGTCTGCTACTACGAAAGTTCGGCCTCCGCGCAACAATCCTTTCCTGGGCTATAGCTTCCGCGCTGTTGACGGTGCCAACTCTCTTCTTTCTTAAGCCGCGCATTCCGCTGTCTACGGTATCTCGCGCCCGGCCACTCTCCTTTGCCTTTCTCCGCCATACTTCATTCTGGATGATGCAATTTGGTGTTGTCGTCCAATCACTTGGATATCTAATGCCCAGCACATATGTGGCTTCTTATGCATCTGCTATCGGTCTGTCTTCTGTTACGGGCCCTATCTTGCTTGCCGTTTTCTCCACGGCTTCGGTGCCTGGATCATTGGTCCACGGCATGCTCGGCGACAGATTGTCCGCGACCAAACTCGTTCTTCTCTCATCTTTCGGTAGTGCTCTTCCAGTCTTTCTTCTGTGGGGGCTCGGTCGTCATCTAAGTACTATGATTGCTTTTGTTATCCTCTACGGCTTTTTCGCGGGCGGATTCAGTTCTACATGGTCTAGTATGACTGAAGAGATCAAAAGAGATGATCGAGCTGCAGAAACTTCTCTAGTGTTTGGTCTCCTGCTTGGCGGAAGGGGGCTGGGCTTTTTAATTTCCGGACCATTCTCCGGATCTCTTTTATCCATTAAAGACTTACTCACGGAAGAACCATTGGGATATGCGACTAAATATGGTCCTATGATTCTCTGCACTGGTATTACGGCTGTTCTGGGAGCATGGGCTCCGTTATGGAAGGGCGCAAGAATTACAGGCAGAGCGACTCTCACAACTTGCTCAGGTCTATTTATTGCTACTTCGTAGTAAAGGGCATGATAAGTCTATCATGATCAACAGAGAGATGATAGTGTGGATGTTAGGTATAATAAGTCGAGAGCAAGAATATCGGACTGCTTACGCTTCGGTAATATCGTCGTCCCAAAGTGGCTTACACTTCAGTGTTCTACTAAATATGAGGATATGTGTGAGCCTCATGTTTGAGTTTCTTGAGCAAAGAAAGGGTTTCATGTTCTTTCTTCACTTCGCCTTCAACGTCAAGATGCACCGAGACGCTACCGTCTCCGTACAAGTCTCATCCATTCAACCACTACAGAAGTATTTTGGCCTATCTAAGATACACTATTGATGACTGTTCCTACTGAATGAACTAAACATTATCTGAGAAAAAACGCTTACAATACTCCGCTAGAGACGGCTTTGGGACGACGATTACTCATGTCCTCACTGCGTATACACAAAGTTGGACGAAAATTCAGTAACCTCGTACTTACCCCTCTAACCAGCTGGAATCCTGATGCTACATCCTGCAGAAGCAATACAACTTACGCGTCTGATATCGCCAAGGCATCCGGGTGGATTTGGATGATAATATTTCGGAACCCCGAGTCCTCACAGACGCAAGACAGATTGCATAAGCCACACTGCCCAATGCCAGAGTCACAAGTCAAGACTTACATCTACCGAAACCAAATTAATATACATAAGGGCACGTATGTCGACCAACTGCGCGAATACAAGCTCACAGTTGAAGGTGATGATGGAGATTGAGAAGCCGCGCCTGACGTCCGATGTTAATCCTTCTCTTCACTATTTTACATGTACTCTACTGTTTCTTTGGCCATTTCATTTCTCAATTCTTAGACTTGCTGCCTCTGATTATCTATTGAGCCTTGAATAGGTGTGGTTATATATCTATGTACGTACTAAATAAAGCTTGGCATTGACCAACTCTGCCATTTGGGCGAAAGTATTCATCGCAATTATAATAAAGACTACTGCTCATTTGTAAAGATAAGACAACGGACAGATATGGAGGATAGCCGTCTTCCTGCCCGCGTCTACATCGCCATCAACATCATCTTTACCATCCGCTACCACGGTTCTCGCCTCTTTCTCTGTTCCTTCGAATCTCAGAACCTCACGTTCGTCTGGCCTACCATTTATGGCGTTCATGACTCTGCTGCACTTGCCAGCTATTTTCTCATTGTAAGTCTCTCTCGTTAACACCCCCTCGAAAGCCTGCAAAGTCTCTTCCTTTCTCGCAAAGCTGCTTGAGGCCTATTCCATTGGGCGATATAGGCTTCTGCCATTTACGTGGGTGGCTCGTCCACCGCAAGGCTCAGCCGAGCCCTGGGATGCAATGTGCTACACATCAATCTACAAACACCTTACAGATTGCAAGTATTCCGCACATCAAACCCTGCACTGATTTCTTCAGGCAGTTGGCTTTGTGCGTATAGAGTTTGGAGGGCAATCTGGTAGACCTGCTGTCCGATCTGACACGTATTTTGTCTCACAAATCTTGACCATATCCATCATGCATGTTTTCAGATAAATGGCATTTGAGTTTCCTATCATATCTGCGCCCATACTAGACCTACTAGCCAAATTTCTATCTGTGTGACAATATTCCTTTATACAACGTCTTGAATTCTTCTAATAGACAAAGCTCCAAACGCTGCCTATCTGGATCCGAGGAAGGCCACTTATATAACACAAAGTCTCGCTCACTGATTCAAAATGAGCTGTAAAAGCTTATAAAAGAAGATCAATAGATGAGATAGCTATCTGGTCAAAGGGAAGAAATTCACGTCCAATGCTCTTCCACGTGGTTAGCCTATATCGTAGATCTGCAATTTAGCGGAGACACTAAGCCATGAGCAGGAAGCAGTGCGCAGTATGCAAGTGCGAGAAAATGAAGATAGAGGATGGATGTAATCGGCTAGGACTGTCGGATGGATTCCGGTTGCCAAATGAGCGGGGTAGATAGTATGAGAAGACGTTGCTTTCTCTATTGTTCTTGCATTGCTTCTAGATGCTTCGAGAGAAGAAATCCTATATACTAATATTATTCCTCACCCAAAAAGCGTATAGTCTCTCCTCATGGCAAAGAGATCTGTGTTACGCTCGTTACGTCAAGTATTTGAGCCGTAGTGATATCATTCTTTCAGCCGGGATCCCTAAATGTGCCACCTACCAAATTCGACTAAGCTGCCGGCAAAAGGACCCATTCACGGCCAGGGATTCTGTTCAGCTCTCGGCTCTGAGTTGAGCTTGAGTGGTTGTACCGCCCAAGATGGTGGGGATTGAGATCAAGAGCTGCAGCACGATGAGCAGATGTAAGACCTGATGCAACCAATCATTGATGTGATAGAAAGGATGTTACCGCAAGATCTAATGTTATTTGCCTCAGTCAAAACAAGAAATAAGCAAGAACTTTTGCTTTTTAAACATATCGAAATCGAAACAAGAAGTTGAGAGGGTTACATCCGCTCCTTCAGTGATGCCAAGTGCGGGTATATAACGTCCCATCATTGCTCTCTGGGCGTGCAGCATTTGGCAACCATAGTTCTTCAGTCGCAATTATTCACCATATCTTACAATTGAGTCTATCATATCCTTATAATGAAGACAATTGCTTCCATTGCTGCCGGAATCGGCATCTTTGCTTCTATCGCAAGTGCATCCGTCCAGGGCTTCGATATATCCCACTACCAGCCCACTGTCAATTTTGCCAAAGCGTATTCCGACGGCGCTCGATTCGTCATTATCAAGGTTCAAATTATATCTTTACTTTTCGCAACGTTCCAGCTTGCTGATGCCCCTGGATTATAGGCTACTGAAGGCACCACATACATTGACCCCAGCTTTAGCGATCACTATACCCAAGCTACACAGGCGGGCTTCATTCGAGGTGGATACCACTTTGCACAGCCGGCTTCTTCTTCCGGTGCGGCTCAGGCCAACTATTTCCTTAAGAATGGAGGAGGCTGGTCGTCTGACGGCATTACTCTGCCCGGTATGCTTGATCTTGAGTATGCGCCCAGTGGTAATAGCTGTTACGGATTGAGCACTAGTGCTATGGTTAGCTGGATCAACGATTTTATCACCACTTACCATGCCGCCACAACTCAGTATCCTCTAATCTACACTTCCACGAGCTGGTGGCAGTTGTGTACGGGAAACAGTGGCTCGTTCGGTAGCAAGTCACCTCTAGTTGTCGCTAGATACGCCAGCTCTGTAGGCTCACTACCTAATGGCTGGAGTTATTATACCATTTGGCAGAACAGCGACTCGTCTCCTTGGGGTGGCGACTCTGATGTGTTTAACGGAGATCTATCTCAACTCCAGAAGATTGCTCGCGGGAGTTAGAGATTTCACACCAAGAGAATGAAGATCGGTGTAGCTAGCTATCTCACAATGACAATTTACAACAGCTCGCTTCTTCGTGTCGACAAACAGCGTTCTTTGTAGTATGCAGTTTGGGCAAATTGCTGCTTTCCTTGTTCGTGCAGTACCCTAAAAGATCGTAGCGAATTACGGTAGTAATTATGCATCAAATGCCGAATAGCAAGACAAAACGTTACTATATTTAGCAGTTTGATGAACGTCGTCTCTCGGTATCATTGAGCATATGAATTGACAATTCGGGACTAGCAACTAAACTTTCTATCTGTTATAAACTATTAGACTAAAACCCCTCTGTACAAGTTTGAAAGCACGCTAATTAACTGTTCTCTAACTCCTCCCATTGTTTTGCGTTCAGCATTGTCTCCTCTCAATCCGAACCGCGCTTTCTTGCCAACACAGATAAAACGGCAGTACTATCTCTCGACAGCGCCAACACTCTGAGAAGCATCTTTATACCCCAATTTCCTTCAAAGACAAATCGTACAACCTTGCCGCTGCATCCTGATCGTAGGCCCATTCGGCATGGCCTGGGTCAATCAGTTTCCAGCCTTTCTTTAGCGGCTCGCTGAACCGATTCCTCTCACAGTACTTTCCTCCTTGGCCTTCTAGGTCTCTGCTAACGGCGGCCCACACCGACGTTGAGGCGCCTTGCTCAGCATTCATCATGGTGTGAAGAGTTGCTATCGGACCAGATTTGATGATTACCATCCAATCTTTGATGTCGAATTGACCCGATGACTGTAGTCCTGTTCGAATGCCGCCGGGGTGCACGCTCCATGCGTGAAGGCCTTGGGCGCCGTATCGCCTTTCAATCTCACTAGCGGTATAAACATTCGCCAGCTTGCTCTGGCCGTATGCAATGGCATGATCGTATTTGCGAGTCTCCCAGTTCAAGTCTCCAAAATTCATTGGAGCATTCCTATGAGCAGTAGAAGAGACAATTACGGCTCTAGAGCAGAATTCTGGAGTTGAGGATGCCAATAGAGTCGGCCTCAGGAGCTCGAGCAGAAGGAAATGTGATAGATGATTCGTGCCCCAGTGCCTTTCATAGCCATCTGAAGTCCTACCAAATGGCACGTGTCGGATACCTGCGTTCTCAATGACGATATTGAGAGTGCTGCTCTTTGACTTGAACTCTTCGACGCAAGATCGAACGCTATCAAAGGACTCGAGGTCCAACTTTAGGAGATGGACACGGTCGCCATCGAGAATATCACCAAGCGCCTCTTTCGCCTTGTCCATATTGCGAGCTGTGACAAAAACGGTTGCGCCGGTAGCTTTCATGGCTCTCGCTGTCTCGACTCCTAGTCCTGAAGAACAACCGGTGATGAGCACAACCTTGTCCTTCATATTCCCCTCTCTTTGCTCATCTTTGATGATTTGCAGAGCAGTAGGTCTGGCATCGCCGGGCCCCATCTGGTTGGCGTGTGCCTCTGCGTAGCGACTCGTTGCTATGGTAGTCATGGTTTAGAGTGAATAAAGAGTTATAACGTCTTGAGTATAGTTGTCTCTATATCGGGTGTGAGATACAGATGGATGTGATTTATATAGAATTAATGTCTGTTATCTAGAGATTTGCTTCGGCGACATGAGTAGCGATATGCTAGCCTATATATACTTAAAAAAGCCTCTATTGTTTTAATATAGAACCACCAAGAATATCTGATCCTTATTCCAACTTGATGAAAGTACTGTGTCTCAAGAAATGGGTACAGGAAAGAAGTACGCCACAATGTATTGATTTCTACCGCTTACTAGCAGGAGAGTCAGCCACATGCTCCCAAGATGGCAATTCTGCTGACAGGGTTCTCGCTGAAACCCGTCTACGAAAGTGGTCATCACCTAAAGGGTTCCTGGGTATACCTGAGAAGATAGCATGATTACAGCTTGCCTCTGATTTCACATTACGGAATTGGTTGTGCATAAACAAAGAATTCCGAAGCCCCACCTGCGCAATTCGTGGCTGTTGGTTACAGCCCAAATAGGCAACTTCTTGTCAGCGACTCGATGATGAGTCAAACTAGCTTTTAATCGTAAGGGGCCGCATCGCAGGATCATTGTCACCAAGCACTCATTTTAGTTTGTCGGGTGTGCCGTTTGTCTTTTGTGAAATAACAAACACGTAGCAGATGGGCGTTTTTATATAAGAATAAAGAACAACTTAGCTCATAGGGAGTGTTCAAGTTAACGCTTTCTACAATGTTTAGTACAGCGATGGAGCAGATGGATATAGTAGCATAAGTAGAAGGATTGAAAAGGACGCTAATACCGGTAGCCCGTGTTACTCGTTGAATTAAGATTGCATTTGTTTACCAGCTCGATGCCATATCGTTCTTCCCTCTTGCTACGCTCACTGCGCCCATTGGTGGGCTTCTTCTTTCGGGCCATGCGACTGTCCAAGACCATCTTACTATCGCGACCGGCCAGCTCCTTGGCGAAATGGCCTTAACGGGCATACCGTCCCAACAACGATTCGCATAGCAATCCTGTTTTCATTCTTCAAGTTCTTGCTCGCTTTAAGAGACTTAAGCATTCTCCGCGAGCATAGCATTTGTTTCCCCTTCATCGTTAGAATCATCATCTATTACAGTACCTTTTTGTTGTGTTATTCTTAGCTTTTCAAGTCTGCAGGAAGCAGCTCGCCTTGTTTGGAATCTTATCCATTGGAACCGTTCAATGCCTAAAGACCATTATTTCTCACCGTAGCTGGGTTCCTTTATTGCTTCATGTGTTTTACACTCCTCACAGAACCAACACTGTTGGCGATGAAGGTCAAGACCGATCGGTGGCTAGCCGAACCGTGACAATTCTTAGATTGCGATAGCCCGACCTGGCTAGGGGCAGCATCAGTTCGTCGTTGGCTGAGTATGTGAGTCGGTTGCAAAGCCACAGGGGAAATGCAACGGGCGAGTAGGATTGGCGCCGGGAATGAGTTTGCATGGGATTGGTCGACAACATTAGATGTTTTACATTTTCTTACAGTTATAAAGAGTCGAAGCATAATAGATGTGGAATTGCATTGTGTAATTTTAAACAGGACTTGACAAAGGTCAGCACTACCTGGCTAGGCATCCACGCAACTAATTTCCGATCCTTAGATTTCTGCTATTGGCAGTTCTGAAAGCGTTCTTTTTGCATCTGCGGGAATGTTACATCCGCCCAGTATAGAACACCCTCGTACTTATCGATCCCGAGATATCGGCAGCGTTGAGCCGAAGAGCGCTTGCTGTAGAGCTTGAGACACTGTCAACCTGCTTGTGGTGCATTATTCAGATTACCCCAAATGGCAAGTGGACAGGGTACATGAGCACCGGAACTGCAACGCAAGGCCCTCTCAACTAAGCTGGCCGCTAACGCACATTTTTTTGTTCAAAGCCACCTTTGGGCTCAAACGTACTAGGCTTATGTCGAACGACGCATCTTGCAATAGACCGCAGATGGATACATGACCAAGTCTTTACTCTTACAGACCAACTGTCTTGCAGCCTCTTTTCGATGTGCAGAGCAAAATCGGACGAGCGTCTTGCTGTTTCAGGCTACTTCAACGTCCAGCGTCGTGACTCAGACTATTGAGGGCTCTTTTTGGTAATGGCTGCTTGGACAATGGCGAGTGTATGCGGTATGTTGTTGGGATGATGGAGATTATATAACACGACTGGCCGATGTTGTGATGGAGCCCTGCCACTAGCTGTAATCATCCGGCGAGCTACAACCTCGGATTCAACTCCGCCAAAATATGTCCAAGTCCGACGCGGTGGCGCTAGGTAGAGCGCGGCTCTAGAGTTATGGCCTGCAGTATGCTCGGATATAAATGTTGGCCTTTTTAGCCATCAGTAAGCTCAGAGTGATTGACAATATCACATACCAATTACACTTCCATATTTTAGGACTTCAATACAGCATAATGCGTTTCCAGCACTTCGCTATGGCTGCTACTTTCTGTAGTTCGGCCTTGGGGAAAACAGCCGACCCAGCCACCAATTTGGCAATTCGAGACGTCGTCAATGCGTTCTCCTTTGCGGTTGATACTCGCCCTGTGCCTGAATTCAACAGTATCTTCACACAGGATGCTGTGCTCAATTTGACCATCCCTGGATCTCAGCAAACCGGAATTGACAACATCAACAAGTACCTGATTACACTTTTGACGCAATTTGAAACCCAGCATAGTTTTGGCACTCAAAATGTTGACGTCAACGCTGATGGAACTGGTGCTACTGCCATTACAAGTTTTATCGGTTCTTTCTGGGACGTGAGCCATTCTCCTCCCCTCTACGCGCAGTTTTGTCAACAATTCAACGACACGTTGGTCAAAACGAAAGGGCAGTGGCATATTAGCCACAAGGTCGTCAAATTTTTGGTGAATTTAGTCGAACATATCTACTGCTACTGCTAACAACGCTTGTAGACCCCATCTTTGGGTAACCTTACCTTATCGTGAGCGCCGCAAGTAGAACATGGTGGGAACAAGATATCACAAAGCAACGTTTATGCAATATAAAGCAAGATGGGTGGTATAAACAACAAAGCTTTTGTTTACACATTTTGAGGTATTGTATATAAGAAAGATATATTTTAATACATAATAATCCTATTAATAATTGAACTTTGAACGTATTTATATTTCTTATTTTATTGAAATTCATACTACTAGAGTAGATTTTATACCAGATAGTTGATATAAAATGGATTTCTAAAGATTGGAAAGTAAGTGACGGTTATCCAGCATCCCAATTCCGTTCTCCAGCACTCTAGCTAGCATCTATACGTGCATGTAGGCTATTAAGTGCTACGTCTGCTACATCTGCTACATCTGCTACATCTGCTACATCTGCTACATCTGCTACATCTGCTCCTAATTTTAAAGCATATATATATATATATTATTTCAACATGTTATACAGAGACTGACTGTACTAGAGCGCGGCCTTTTGAGTGCTCTACCACAACATCGACTTAATGTCGCGGAACCTTGTCATTTCCAACCTTGTTGCGGTACGAGATTCTGCAGTTTCATAAGAATACAAAAGCCATCCAGCTCTAGTACGCGCAGCCATGGAATTTGTAAAGCGGTCCCAAATTGAGGTACCTTGCTGCAGTTTCTTTTGGAGCTCTCCCTAGCAATGCTTGCCTATAAGCGTCACTGTTGGTGCCTTTTGGATCATGGCGTAGTTCAAGTAGTTCAAGGATCTTCTTCCATCTTTCTTTTTTGTTAAATCGTGTTTTCTAGTGGGGTTTGTTGCCATTGGCGAGATGGGGATCATGTCCGAAGTAGTAGAGACTGTTGGAGGAGTCTTTGACTTGGCGAGCTAGGCTTGGGTTGCTGGGATCCGGGACATAGGCGGACCGAATTGAAGCCGCTTTAGTTAAGAGAAAATGCCATGCGAAATGTAGCATAGCATCTCAGGCGCCCGACATCATGGTCATTGTTGAGGGATCAAGGTGTAGTGACAGTGGTGGTGGTGGTGGTGGTGGTGATGGCGGTGGTGAGAAAGCAAGAGTTGTTGCTGCTACTTTTCTCAGGCGCCGGTTTTGCTTTCGCCGCTATCTGCTTGGCTGTATAGTAGACCATAATTAGTTCTCACAAATGTATCAAACTTGAGATTACTGTCTCCACTTACACGGACGCTCTTCACTCTTCCGTTGCGTTCAAGGGGGCGCGGGAGGGGCAAGCGCAGGAAGAGCTGGAGCTGGAGCTGGAGCTTCGACGGGTGCAGCACAAAGTTGGTTAGCTATCCATAATTAATAGAGTTTGCCAAGCTCATCCAATGGCATTATCTGAACTTACGCAAACTCCCCCGCTGAGGGGGACCTGCAGCTGGTTGTTCTTTGAGCACCAAGGCACGGTGAGAGAGTGGGAGGTGCGGAAGGCAACATCTTGTATCTACCGGAGAGCAACTGAACAATCGGCATTGAGTAGCCGGCTTGTTGTATGTAATCGGATGCGATGAGAGAAGTACAAATCTTGAAATCGATGTTAATGATGGATAGATAGAAAAATTTGGAGAGCGGTAGAAATTCAGTAACAAGATGCGGCTGTGGCCGTGGTTGCGCGTGGCATAGGGCTTTAGGAGAGAATTTTTGAGGACGAAGGTGGTCAGTTTCAGCAACTTGGAAGAGTGTAGCAGCAGTAGCCGCTGGTCTTTTCATCAATTGATGTCTCATGTTCTAACTTCAAACAGTGATCGAGACTATAGCGTGCAAATACGCCCGATGTGCAAGATAGCGTCGTTACAATATGGAGGTTCAGTATCTGTAGCCTAATCGATACCCACCGATATGAGAAGTCTACTCACCACCGTATTCCCAAGCATCATGAGTAAATTGCAGAGACTTTTATTTCTAGTCTCCTTGTTCATCGTCACCATCACCATCATGGTCGAGCCTATAAACACCTCGTGATTTTACTCCCTTGCTACCGGCGTTTGCAGGTACCCTCTTGCCAGTAACTGTCCGAGGTTAGTCTTCAACCGATTGGCGTTTTGGTCAATGAATCGCCCAATAAATCAGATGCTATTGAGAACAAACGCATAGAGTACATAATGAACCAAGCTGACATTGATTACGTAGTGCCCCTCTCCGTTGGGAATGGATAATGATCGATCCTGCGATGATTTTGTTCCTCTGAGGCCGGAACGGCCAGGAGATTGAGATGGGCAAGAACCCGCCCCGAGGGCGCCAACTGCGCCGCCAACAACATCACCAACCCCCTCACCATAGGCCAACAATGCTTTACGGGCCCCACGGGCCTGGCCTCTTCCTTTCCCTCCTATGCCACCCCCATCGCTGCTGCTGCTTCCAACACAGGTCCTTGTCACCCAACATCCAACGAAAGATGCCCGTTTTCGCAAGAGAGTAACTCAAGCATGATCAGTTCGCTGTGGAGGAATATTTCTCGCTTGGTGCCTTCACATCTAGATTCGGGCTTATCAAGAAATGGATCGTTATGAAGCGCCTTAGGCGTGTTGTGCAGGAATAGTGTAAAAGTAGATTTCTCGTCACCTCTGTGAAGTTTGAACTGGAAAAGCGCTGTGCCGTATTGAAAGTTCTCAGAGCCTTCCCAAAGTTGAAAACATGATAGGCTTTTGAATGATGAGATGGAGCTAGAAATACCCTACAACATTTACTTTAATGTTCGTAGTAAATCTAACACTAAAATTTCTTAAGATCAGAATATTAATAGTTCCAAAGATTTGACCATCAGGAGAGAAACCTCGCCCATTTTTTTACATGTCACTCATCTCTAGAAGCAAAGCTCTGTGGACTTTTCTTTTTCTTCAAAAAGCGCTCAAAGTTTTATTCTTATTGTTATGGCATTTTTATTGTCAAGCTGACTTTCCTTTTTCTACTTCCTCATCAACTTCGCTAACAAGATCTTTCAGATCATCTTTGCCTCTAGCACCTCTATAATGTATCCAGGGTAGACTACCATAAAGATCAATTTGGAGATATATACAGGCACAAAAGCTATGTATATAAATTGTGGAACCCTTTGACATTCTTTTGGCTGGTAGATAGGTAGTTCACCATCTTGCCACTTCCCTATTGTACTCTAATATCATCCATCCCAAAGACTCTCAAGAGTACCACTACAATACAGAATGTTTAACATTGACGGTACCAATTAGTTGTGAGTCAGATAATATTATGCGTGGGTTATCACTCTCTTTTAGCGAACATATCTAATCTCGAAACCAATCGCGTAGCTACGGAGCGAGGATCTTTTGGCAATGAAATTAATCATTATGATGGACCACTGAAATGGCCAACTTGAGAAATCCAACGTATCATTTTGGCTTCGCGTTCGCTTCTCAGGAGAGCTATATTCAGAGCTTGGCTCTTCGCGAGTGAATATTTCGTTTTTCGCATGGATGATTATTGAGTATTGTAGGTCGATGAGAAGCTGTGTGCTTTCGGTTGGCAACGGAGGCTACACTGCTTCTCAAAGACCGATTAGAGCCGCAGCAGTCGGTGTTTGGTAAGTTCCCATTTAATGTATAAGGCTGCTCATCATCATCTAGTTGTCTCCAGCTGTTGAAGTTCTGTTCTTGGTCTTATCTTTCCTCATGTGTCTGGATGCTCAGTCACAAAAGATCTGTATTCTTGCATCACGCATATAAAGTAGGCCAAAATCTTCGTAAAAATCGAGTCGATAGAAGAGATTCGAAGTTGGAGTTGGTCTTGTAACGGCGGATATTGCTTTACTTCGCATCTTTGCTGAAGAGAAGTATATTAGTTAATATGGCGCATGAGAAGTTCTAGGTAATCTCCAGTAGTGAGTATCATTCTTCACCAGAAAAGGTGGCTCAATTTTCGATTTCTTTGCCGAACTGGTTTCCAATGTTAGCATCTGCTAGATGTCGATGCTGCTTTCACAGCTCAATTGGCCCCGCATTCATATTGTGTAGAGAGAGCGAGAAGGCACAATTGGCTTGTTTTCAGTGCAGATTGAAGGAAATGACAATCCATGAATATTGACTCAATTGACAGCGAAATGATGATCGAAAGACCTATTCATTGCGTCCAAGCTTGGTGCGGGCGTAACGAGCGTCAATCAAACAGAGTTTGGGCGCTTTGCAGTGGATCGCGTAAAATCGATGGGAGACACGTCGCGTCAAGCAATTATGAATATTCAACACAGTTCGAAATAACTGCAGCCAACTCTGACATGGTTCCTCGCCGTACGTCATGGTGCTTGGACCTCGCCCGTTCAAGCTTTCCGGGCAATTGAGAAGCTGCTGTTTGGCAAGGGGCCAAGAAAGTCAATTAGATTCCGCCCAATGGCACGAATGGGAGATGATTGATGCAGTAAGCGCGAAAAGTATCGCGCATTATTTCCGAGAAAAGGCAGATGGGCTCGTTGCTTACATATCAAGGCAGCCAAGAATTGCAGCTAATTGGCGCGGAACAGCTTTGTTTCATTGTGGCTTCGCTCCAACAAGCTCCAGAACTTCAAAAGTACGTTGAGAGTACATGTATTTTGCTTGGAATGCGGTTTGCATTTCTTTTTCTAAAAAGGCTAAAATAACATCTGCAGAAGATCGAGTCTCTTTTAGATGGCAATCAGCGTCTGCGGCCGCGACTGGTCAACTCAATGACGCTTTTCCTACCCGTGACCAACTGCAATTCTGTCGATCCATCATGTGCTGCGTTGAACTCGTGCTCTGTGGGAGCAACGACCCTCCATGCGAGCTGATCTTTCAATTTACCCCAAAAGCGCCAAGATTTCTGGTCACATGTGTCCCTACGTGGTTTGTTATGGCTTGAATATCGTAGCATTCATATGGTCATGGTGCCGAAGGATCATGTGGAAACAGCACCCCTCGTCGGCTTCGGCAGGGATCGCCTCCCTCTCGCAAACTGTTTACCACAATGCGCATGAACAAACACAACACAACACAACCCTGCCCTTTTACCTGAGTGGTCCCCGCCGGGATACAC